TGTGTGTGGCAGAACTGGGGATTGCAAAAGGCAGGGCATGGGTTGGGTAGCTCTGCTGCTGTCTGAAATCTGGTTTCTTTCCCTGCACCTGGTCAACTCCACAGACACCTGTCATTCCAAGGACATCAGTACCCCATGCTGAAATCACGTGTCTCTCCCTCAGTTTTGTGAGCTGCTCTAGCCGGGCCCTCCTTGTTGAGTCATTTTTCTGCACCTGGGCAGCTCCTGCCCTGCCTCTTAAGCCTGGGTGTTCCCCAAGGGTCTCATCATTCTTCACTGGCTGGCTCTTCTGAATGAGTCTTTTTATGTATTTGGTTGTTGCAGGGTCTCATACGCAGCTTGGACTCGTGGTGATCCTCTTGCTTTCAGTCAACCTAGTGCTGGCATTTCAGGTGTGTACCACCATTCACAGACTGGCTGCTCAGCCTGCCCTGGGGGCGGTGCTGGCATGGCATGTGGTGCTGGGGATCGAACTGTTGTCCCCGCGCTTGCCTAAACAGGTGCTTTAGTCCACTGAGCTATCTTGCTGGCCCTGAATAAATGAGTCTTGAAAGGGCAGCTCTGACCCTGTTTTTCTTCTATGTCCCTGGCTTGTCCAGTGACCTGATGGACAAAAAAATTCACCTCTATCAAATGTGGATCTTTAAATCCTTTCCACATACACAAAAACAAAAAACAGACCCAAGGAAAAGGCCACCAGGGCTTTCCTATTTCTGTTAATGATGCCATCATCTTCCTGCTTTCCTGAGCCTGAACTTTAGAGCTACCTGGTAGCTGCCTTCACCTACACCTTTGTCCTCTCCTGTCTGAAGTTCAGGGCAGTTGCAGTGTCTCCAAACATCTGGCCTGTCTTGTGCATCCTCAGATCATCTAGCCTGGCCCATACTACCTGGAGCTCCTCCCTGGAGGAGGGGTGGGAGAGCACTTGCGGATCTCAGGGCAGAAATTGCAGAAGTACCTTAAGTTTGGGCATCAGGCCCACCTCAGACAAGTCCTTGGCTCTTCACCATCAGTCTTGTCTGACTTCCCAGCCCACACTGCACCCTCCTCTGCCCCAGCATACTGCTTTAAACAAACTGCTCATCTTGGAGCTTGCCTTTCCTCAAAATGTCCCACCTCTGCTTTTCTTTCCTGGGTCCTTTGTAGTGGAAATGTTCTTCCTGTTCCCCTCATACCAACTAAATTGTGTCTGTCCTCAAGACTCAATTCATGGGGGCCGGGGAGATGGCTCAGTGGAATAAGTGCTTAACTGGCAAGCACAAGGGCCTGAGTTCAATCCCCAGTTCTGCCAAAAAAAAAAGACTCAGCTCATGGGCGCTGCCTCCCCAAGTCAGCCTATCCTTCAGTGAGCTCTTTATTCTAGACACATTGTGATATTACTCTTCAAGCAACTCGTCGTGAACAACCTGTGACATCTCTATTATAAGCATGTAGTGTTAAAAGTTTCAATGATCTGCACCCATGTAGCCAGCCCAATTGGTGTGTTACCTCCTGAGGGACATAGAGAACTGTCCCCCTCGCCCCCCAGAACAGGGCACACTGATGTCGATGAGCATCAAGGGACGGTTACTGATTGCACTGGTGGGAGAAAAGGACCAGTGACCCCCCCTCGGCACAAGCGCACACTTACCCCAGGGGCTGCACTGCTGGGCCTACCCTCCTCAGCTTGGTGCTCTCATGGTACCCGTTCCCTCTTAGGGATCAAGATTTGATACTACTTTCAACGTCTTCTGCCCCTAAGAAACTTCCCTGTCCAGCTTCTTGCCCACTTGAAGTGTTAAAGTAGCTAATCTGATAAACTAACCTGTGCAGATGTAGTTATGGGAGAAGCCCAAGAGGTAGGTTCTTTTGGCCAGCTGTGTGGCAGCACCCCTGCCTTTGGGACGCTTTCATGGAGTCAGGAGTTGAGAGATGGTCCTTACCTCCCAGCAGCTGATGTGTTACTCCTTCCTTGGGCTCCCATGGCACTTGTATATACCTCTTGTTGTAGCAATAGCACATTGTAGCTCTTAATATTATGTGTTTATGTATGTTTCCCCTCCAGTAGACTGTGAGCTCCTCACAGACAGGGACTGTGTATTAGACACTGTTGTATCCACAGTGCCTAGCACAGTGCCCGACACACAGTAGGTGCTCAATAAATGTTTGTTGAAAGGATGGATGAAAGAGTCCTAATTACAGGTATGGAGAATTCTGTTCTATACCTTGGTAGGCAAGAGGAAAAGGGTATTCCATACTTGGGAACTATCACGGCTTTTTAAACTCCTTGTCTAACACTGCTGGCAGACACTTCCTTTGCCTATCTCTATAGTTATCTCTGCACAACAGGCCCACAAGGGACCTAAGGATCTTCCAGTCATGTCTTGCTGTCACCAGGTGCCACCGCGACATCCAAACTCCTGCCCATTGGCGACTGCTTCCTGCCCGATTTCCTCATCTCTGGGTGGGACTAAGTGGTGGAAATGTAGCGCTGTGGGCATGGCAGGGCGGAGTAGGGTAGGACAAAAAATTATTCCGAGGTCACAAGCCTTCTGAGCCCATCACTTATTCCAAAAGAGGCAGTTACTTTCAGCTCCAAAGTCTCCAGGCTGTGGCAGCCCAGGACACTTCCTGGGCCTTGACGCGCAGGACCTAGAAGCCGATGTGCAGCAGATGGCGCTGTCGAGCCGGAGATGGCGAGCGGGTTGGCGGACCCGACAATTGGTCTGGGCGGGGCCTACCCGCTTCCAGGAGAGAAAGCCGCGGCCCGGGTCTTGCTGTCTCGGCCAGTGCCCCGCGCCCCCAACTCTTCCTAAGTGACCTGGCCCCAACAACGACCTTCATTGCTCTAAAGCTTCGAACCCTCCCCTGGGCCCCTGTCTACTTTCCAGGGGAGAAATTTAGCAAACCGTTGAATGTCGTCTCCCCATTGGCCAGCAAGCCGCTGGCCCCGCCCCCGCCCCCTCCCCCAGCCTCAGGCGCCCGCAGGTGAGCCCGCGGCCGCCCCTCCAGTGCAGCCAGCCAGGAGCCCTGGGCCAGCAGCGCTCCCGCCACGCACCCCCGTTCGTAGGCCCGGGACTGGTCCAGCCAGCCAGCCTGCCTGTAGCTGCACTTTCACACACCGCTGCTTTCTACCTTGAAATCGGAGAACGATCCTGGCGCCCGCAACATCCACTCACCAGCGGCCGGCCCGGCCCGCCCAGGGTGTGAGCAGAGCAGCGCAGAACAGTCAGGTGTGTTCTCTCTGCTGCAGTGGCCGGTCACCCATGCCATGGCAACCCTGGCTGCTACTGGGCCTAGTAAACTTGAATACGACATGTAGTCCGCTAGCCATGCTTTGGGCAGATCCTACCTTTCTTAAAATAACAACAGCCACAATAAAATGCATGATAGACTTCCTTCCCAGCATAGGGCAGTGGCGGCGAACCTTTGATATGCATACTGCGGCAGGCACGCAGAACCCTGGCAGCATCGAGACCAGTCACCCCAGCATGTCCCCCACAGTTCAGCATTCAGGTTTAATTGCAGTGCTGGCACTTTGCAATAAATGACTGAGTTTTGGGTTACAGTTTGGCCACTTGGTCTCTGAAAGGTTCACCATCACTGGATTCGTCTGAAGAAGCAGTTTCCAGGCAGATTCACTCCTGCACCCATCACGAGGTAGGAATTAAAATAGACCTTTCTGGAATATGGAGCTTTAACAGGGCTTCGTCCAACCCCAAAGAGGAAGATTCTGGTAAGGCACTCATTAACTCTAGGCTTGTGACTGGCTCCCAGGAAGGAGCTTTGGCTAGGCAGCCACTGTTGCATCCTTAGAATGACTCCCAGCAGTCGCAGGTTGGTAAACTGAACAGATGGGACAAAGAAGGCCTGGGGAGATAAGGTTCTCCACCAAGGTGGGTTGTAGGAGGTGCTGGGGCTGGCTCTTGCCTGCAGCACATTGGAAGGACTAGAAAACCATTTAATGGGCCACAGGGTGAGATGGAGATTGAAAGCATCCATACTTCCCACCTTGTTCTTCACAACCTGGTAGAGGAGCAGTGGGACTTACTGAGTTTTTGGGTAAAGAAACCCAAAAGCATGAACACAAGGAACACTGATTTGCTTCTGCTTTTAATTCCATTCCTTTGTTGGTCTCTTATGTGTTTGGTCCAATTGTCTTTTCAGTTTACTGCCACTTCTGTGCCTGCTTCTCTTATTTAGGTATTCACTGGGCATTCCTTCTCCAAGGAAGTCTTTTCCAGTCACCCAGGACCCTTGCCCATCTCTTTAAGCTCCCATAGCATTCTGTGGCAAGTTGAATCCTTACACTCATCACATGGCTTAGCTGATCTACTAAAATGTCTGATTTCTTAACTGCATATTCCAGAGGATCACCTGATTATCAGCACTACTCTGGGGTTGTTTGGGGGACTTTGCAATCAGGAAGCAGAGAGAGGAAAGCCACTGAACAAGATTAATCGGGCCGGGGAGATAGCTCAGTAGAATAAGTGCGTGCCTGGCAAGTGAAAAGCCCTGAGTTCAAACCCCAGTACCACAAAAAAAAAAAAAAAAAAAGATTAATCCTGCAACTCAAAAGCAGTGAAGTCTCCTGTATCTGGGTAGAAAGACCTAGGTTGGGGCAAGCTTCTGAGGCATGAACAAGAAAAGCAGCTCACAGTTTACTCCTGGGGAAGACTGCTCTCCTGCCAGACACACAGATCTCCTCACCCATAAGGTGAGGGCAGGCGCTGAGTGGAGCTGAGCAGAGCATGTATCCAGTTGGAGGCCCAGGTCAGGAAGGGGAGCAGGCAGGCAGGTGATTGCCTCAGGGAGGGTTACCCCCCCACAGCCTTCTCCCCTCCATCCTGCAACTCCTATAAGGAACAAGGGGCACTCTTGCACACCCCCACCCCCACCTGTGTAACCAAATCCAGATTCTCAATGTGCCAGACCCTCACAAGCCCTCGGATTTGCCCCTGCTTTTCCTTTCCTTTCCAGATCATATGCCAACTGTAATGTTCATGAGCCTCTACCTTGCTTCAACCAATGTGGCCTTTGGGGCCGCAACTTCCAAGCAGGATCAGGGGATTTCCCATTTAGTGGGGTGCATGGTAACCTCTAGAAAGGCACAAGGGGGAGAAGTGTGAAGAGATAGGAGACAGAGGCCCTGACACGTTTTTTCAGTATGCAAGTGTTTTTTTGACTCCACAGCCAGTTGATTAAAATGAAACATAAAGGGCAGCGAAAATATACACCCAATGCAAAAGGTAAAGGCAAACATAAAACATAAAATAAACCACACGATACCATAAACCCCAAAACCAAAAAATTAAAATCCAAAACCCCTCAACTTTATATATATATATTTTATACATATATATATATATATATTTAGTTTTTTTTAAAAAAAGGGAGAACAACTTCAAAACCAACTGGGCAGGATGAGGGGCTGGGGAGCAGTCCTACAGAAGGGGGCCCAGAAATTCCCCCAGGGAACAAAGAACAAACACAATACAAAGAAAATTAACCACCAATGCTCCCAAATGGGTCAGGAGCCTCCAGAGAACAGATTGTCCCATCCTCAAACTGGCTTTTTTTTTCCATTTTCTTCTTTTGTTGTTGTTTAGCACCTGTACAATAAAACTGTACCATCTCCACCAGAGCCAGCCACAGTGAGGCGCTCCTGCCTTCGGATGGTACAGACTCTACAAGGATTGTTCGGAAAAATAGCGATTGGTAGAAAAATAAGAGAGAGGGAAAGACACGCTATAGAGGGAGCGGGGACAAGGAAGCACCCCAAGTTCCTTGCTTTCTCCCCTCCTTTCTCTGCCAACCAGCACTACAGGCTTGGAGGAGGCCGGTGTAGCCACACCCTCAGCCTGTGGCCAGTCCTCAAGCAGGAGCAGAGGCCAGGCTGGAGACTGGTCTCCCACCTTCGCCTAGGAAAGTATGGATGCCTGATGTCACATCTGGCTGTCAGGCCCAGGGCCCTCCAGAGAGTCCCACAGAGAACAGCGGGGAGGGGAGCAGTACTTGCTGGAAAGGGCTCAAGATGGGAGTTGAGGGCTAGGAGGTGAGAGGCTCAGTATCTGAAGAGGGGAGGCCAAGGACAGGGTCGATGGATATGGGGGCAGGTGAAAGATGAAAGAATAACCCCGCATTGTGCACCTTTTAGGGAGCAGTGGAGAAGGTGTGAGGGGGCACCCTCAGCCCTCAGGCCCGTTCTCAACTCTCCTTTAGCAGAGTAACTCATACACCCCTCACCCAATTCTCCTCTCCCTAGTTAACACCAATCTCAAGATGGCGGGGCTGCTGTGAAGGACAGGGAGGAGAGAAACTGACAGGGGAAGGGGAGCACCAAAGCCTCAGGATTTACACCCAGACCCCAGCTCTGAGCCAGCATCATTCGTCAAATGTTCTTCACCCTGCTCACCTCTGCCCCTCCCCAGGGAGAAAGCAACCTGGGAAGAATTTTGTCAGAGGAAGGGAGCAGCCCCAAAGCTTGTCAAGAAAGAAAAAGAAAGGAGGTAAAGAAAGTCCCTCAATACAACAAGTTGTCTCAAATCGTCACAGTGATACAGACTTATCAGAAACCAATGAAACAATACAAATTAAATACTAATAAAATAAATACTATGGAAGACAGAAGAACACGGGTATGAGGGGGCACTCAGGTTTGGGATTTTCTCATTTCTCCTTGAACACGATACAGCCACGCAGGCCCATGTCTGGTCTTGGTCATATGCAAAGATGACAGTCCAAGGGACCCTGGTGCCACCTCTGACACCCCCCTCCCCGGGACCTCTTGTCTTCAGACGTGGAGTTCAACTTTCCACCCCCATCACCAACCACAACAAACAATGATGACAGGGCGATGAGAATTAACTGTAACCAAAAAACAACAACAAAAAAATCCAGTCACTAATGCTGGCATTGATAAGGCGGCTTCTTGTTGGTCCATATTATTGCCTCATTCTGCAGTCTGGTGCTCGGTGGGGAACATGGGAGGTGGGGGAAGGGTGAACTCGAGAGGAGAAAGAACAGGGAAGGGCTGTTTTCCTGGTCAACTGTTCCAAGACTGGAATTCCACCTCAGACCCTAGGAGCCGAAGGAGCTCAGGCTCATAAGCAACCAGCTCCACAGTCTCAGAGGAGCCTGGGGGAGATCTGTCCTCCACGCCACCAGGCCTCTCAGCAGGGGTCAGCAGCTGACTGGAGGCCACCTGCCGGTAGAACTCGGCCTTGGGCAGGGTGGTGATTTCAAAGTGCGGAAACCGGGCCTGAAAGATCCTTGAAGAGAGCTTCAGCCGCTTGAGGACATCGGTGAAGAGGAACCAGTTGCAGGGCCTGAAAAGGCAAGGGCAGGGTGGGAGTTAAGAAGGGAGGCTCAGGGGAGTTGGACAGTACTGACAGAAGCACTGCAGATGGACAGAGATGGTGAGGGACCCCTGAAGTCTAACTTGGCTCCTGGTCCTCCCAATAAGATTTGGTGCCAGTCTAGCTATCCCCCACTAAAGCACAGGCTCTGTGGCTAAGGCTGAGGTGAATATTTTCTCCTAGCCCAGCTAGGTATCCGTGAGCACTCAGCCTATGCCTGAGCTCTTCCAAGGAGAGTGAGCAGGAGGGAGACCGGCCTGCCAGAACCAAAACCTCTTAGCAGGCATCTGCAGGACTCTGACTGTGTCCACGACCTGGGATTTATTATGCGCCAAGACCACATCTTCCCAACCCCCTGCCTCTGCAGACCCTGTCTTATTTCCCTTTCCTGTTCTCATTCCTGTTTCCCTGGCCTCCCCATTCTCCAAGATCCTCAGCAGCAAGGGAGCTGTGGAGAAAGGCCTAAACTGAGGGTAATCCAAAAGGCATTTGTGTTTGGCTCTGGAATGCATTAGACAAGTTTGTTCTCCAGCAGCAGCAGCGCAGAGGCAGCACTGTCGTTTGTGCAGGCTGGGCTCACGTTACAGCCAGTCTGCTGTTGTGAAGCACACCAGAATGGGCAGCAGCCGGGGCACAGCTGGGAGGGGTGCTAGAGAGGCCACTCACAGGCCGGCAGCGTATTGGCTAAAGCAGGAAGAAACACTGCCTCCTGTGTCAGTCTCCTCTGTTTCCAGGGCTGCCGGCTCCAGCCTTGGACTCTTCTGGCCTGGACTATGCTGCATGTGCTACAAGCCCGACTGGCTTCCTTTTCTCCAGAATCACTCTTGGGCACCCTTCCTACCATCACTGGATCCTCTGTTTCAATGAATTTTCTACAAACAAAACCTGACTCTCCACTCCAGTCCCTAAACAGCTTTCGACAGATCCCCAGTGTCTACAGAAAAAAGCTCCAAATTCTTTAGCAAGATATTAAACAAGGCCTTCCAATGATGATTCTATTTGATCTCTTCAACTCCAATCTCTGCCACACCCACAATCCCCAACACACACTGTGGTGCTGACCCCACCAGCCAGCCTCATGATGTAGGACTGCTCCTGCTTTCTGAACCTCCTGAGCTTGTGTGGCTCAGTAGCTTTGCTCATGCCATGCCATGTTTCTGTCCTTCCTGGCCCAGCTCAGATGCCATGTCCCCTTTGACTGTGTGCTCATCCCATCCCCCAAAACCTCCTGGTGCCTGTTCCACACCCCTATCTCAATCCTTACTTCCAAAAGAGGCACGTGGGAAGGGCTACAGAAGCAACATAAAATGTGGTCCTCTCTGGGCCCTACAGATGGGGAGTTCAGGATGGACTGGAAGTTTTTATTTTCCAATTGACACCCTTCTGAACTTTTTGAGCTTTTTATAAGCCTGCTTAGAACATTTGGTCTTTTATTAGAGTCATTATATATTTGTCTGTTTATTGCATTAGACTTTGGATTCTTTGAAGGCCAGAGCTATGTTCTGGTCATCAGGGTTTGACCTAGTGCAGCTGCTTAAGACATGTTATGAAATCAAATGTTCTGTCTAGTGCTCAAAACATCTAGCTACACCTACAGTCTTTATTCTTAAAATATACATGAGCTCTGCTATTTCATGGGACTAAGGATGGAGTGTTCTAGGCTAAGAGAAAGGGACCACTCACACCATTGACTTGGACCATCACTTTCAAAGAATGGGGGAAAAGAGCCCTTCAAATCATTCCTGCTGCCATTCAGAATCTAGTCATGCTTCGATGATCCAGAAGGCACTTCTCTCTTTTTTTAATAATTTTATTGAGAAACAAATAGCAATGAGACAGTTTCAAAACCAATTAGTAGGACAGTTTCAATAATTAATACATTGCATATTGTTGTCTTCTTAGTGGTTATTCATAGTACAAGATGCAGACATGATATCCTGTCCACAAACACTATTAGAACAAATCTTTCTATTCATGGAATTAAGAGAAACTAGCTGTGTATCTATCCTATTTTGAATATACAGATACAAAAAGGTCCTTCATTTGAATCCCCTTTTTTGTTTAGTTTCATCAGAGAAGAGTATTCCATTGTCATTTAAATAAAGACCCAACATGGCTGTGCTGTGCTGTAGCAGTGGGTAAGGGCAGTTTCAGAACAAGTGCCACAGGATGGCACATTAAGAAGGCAGCCTCGCCAGTAGCCCCTCTCAGCTGACAACTTGCCTGCCACCTGGCTCAAAGAGTGGCACACGGCCCTTCGTTGCCTGAGTTAAGTCTGTACCTAAAGCAGCCTACCCTGGTCCTTTTACTGCTTGTGGCCCCAAGATCCTGTTTCAGAGGAGGTGCTGGACACTTTGGAGGCATTAATTCACTGTGCAATACTATATCCTGGAGGCCCCGCCTTGTCCTCAGGGATCAGCTTCTGCCCAGAAGAATAAGGACCAAAGCCCCTGAAACTTGATCTCTCCAAGTGTCATCATATAGGCTATTTTTATTCTTATCAGGCCACTGGGAAGGTATGCAAAGAAATGGGGCCTAGGGTCTAGTGTCATAAACAGAGACACTCACTAGATGCATTCCTAAACTGTCACCCCACTCCCTATCCTGTGCATGCTGTGCTAGTTCACTGGGTTTTAAAATAGGGCTTGGGAGTTAGACATGGTGGCACAAGCCTATAATTCCAGGGCTTGAGGCTAAGTTCAAGCCCAGCCTAGGTTATATAGTGTCTCGAAAACAATAAAATAAAATAGGGTTTACTGAGCCAGGCACAGTGACATATGCTTGTAATCCCAGCTACTTGGAGGGTTGAGGCAGGAAAATCGTAAGTTCAAGACTAGCCTGGGTAACATAGCAAGATCCCATCTCAAGAAAAAAGTCTGATATTTTAAATACAGGTATTAAGAGTCACTCAACTCTTTTACAGTGGTCAGCTCTCACCCTGTAGAGTGTTCTTTTCATGCTTTTAATTGGCCTACAGTCACTCTGCAGAGCATGTTTCTTTCCTTACCTTTTTTTTTTTTTTTTGGCAGAACCAGGGATTGAACTCAGACCCTTGTGCTTGCCAGGGAAGCGCTTATTCCACTGAGCCATCTCCCCAGCCCTGTTTCCTTACCTTTAATACATGTAAAACCTTACAAATAAGGAACAGGTATCAAGGAAAAATAATCCTTAACATTGTTTAAAAATAGTGGTGGAGGAACCAAAGGGAAATTGATCCTGCATTCTCATTCTGCCAGGCAGCATGTCCACTTGCTGATGTAGAGGGAAACCCAACAAGAACTATAGCCCTGAAGATTGTTGAACTCCCTTCTAAATCACCAAAGAAAGACCCAGTTGGGTCCTGTCTAATATTGGGCGCCAGCTAGCCTCTAGCCTCTGCACATAGGTGCTGCCCATTATCATATGCACAGTCATCTGCGCTAGCAGCATGCGTGCCATCACCTTGCCAACATTAGGGCTCAAAGAACCAGGCCGAGGATTGCTTAAGGACCTTGGTGGCTCCACAGCTATGGCAACCATATGTCCCGGCTTTTCTGAGAATCTCAGTTGCAAATATTGTGTCTGCCTGTCCCCAGAAACCACAAAAATGTTCCAAAATTTCTAATAGATTTCTAATAAATTTCTAATAAATTTCAGTCCAAATATCTCTCAGATAATCTCGTACACCCAAATGCACAAAAGGGATTCAGGAAATGTATGCAGCTGCCAGACATACTCTGGACTTAGAGGTCCACAGATTTCTAATATGAACACAAGTTATGTTCAGTCTGGACTGGGAGATCAGGCTGGTCCTTTCCTAAGCTCCAGCATTTACTTGCCAGTCTTTGCTTCCTCCCAGAGAGATTTACCTTTCCCAGAAGAGGGGCTCAGGGGTTGCCAGATCTGTAGACACTCAGTCCCTACAGCTCTTTCAAACACTTACCCGCGCGACACTGACACCTGGAGGTTGTAGCAAGGAAGAAGAGGCTTGTCTGAGAGCTCAAACATGAAATCATCCTCTTCCACATCATCTCCTTCTTGATCAGCACTCCCAGGGGGATTGTGCAGGAGGTCACAGGCAAAGCCGTCTTTTTGCTCTGTAAGGAGGGAAGGACTCCACTACATGAACAAAGCTAAAGAGAAGAAATGCTCCAGCCAGATAAAGGGACACAAAGGGGTGCTGAGGAGATAAGTGACAAGGCCACAAGTCTTTTGCTGGCCCAAGGGTTGCTAATCCCATGGCCTGGATCATTGGGAGGATGGGTAAAAGTTCTAGGTCTGGAAAGAAATATTTTGTGGCCCAAAACTCAATGCATCCTTCCATTCTCTGACTGGAAAAAGAAAGTGACATGAAGAACAAGCTGCTCAGCTGTAGGAGATGGAAGCCTGAAGCTACTAACAGCAGTCAAGCAAAAAGTGAAAACACCTGCCCTTCACTGCCTGCAGCTTTCCCAAGCAGCCTGCCTGCCTGATCGCAAAGCCTGGGGTTCAAATGCTTCGCACCCCAGCCACGCGTTTGGGTGCTGCCTGTTGCATTCTGTCCCAACCTTGGCTGCCCCAGCTTTGTCCAAGCGTAGGGGTGGGGGCTCCTTTTGCTTGTTAGCTCCTGGCCCACTGTAGACAAAGATATTGATCTTCAGAGTGAAGGAAGCCTGGGCTAGAAAGCTGAGGACATCAGCTTCTGGTGGGATTAAAACAAGTAAGGGATGTTGGGCTTGGTGGTACACACCTGAGGAAAGATTGCCACAAGTTCAAGGCCAGCCTGGGCTACACAGTGAACTCAAGGCCAGCCTGAACTACACAGAGAGACCTTGTCTCAAAAAAAAAAGACAAAGTAAGGGAGGAGAAAGGGACCTTGGATGAGAGAGAATTTGAAAAGTACTTGTGGTGGGGAGTTGTAGCAGACTAAGGAGGGATGACTGTGTCTAAATCAGTGTTATGTCCTGTGATTCAGGCAAAATGATTTCAGGATCTGGTAGAAGGAAGGGTTAGAGTTTGGGCTGAAGCGGTCTGTAGAGGCTACTGCAGGTGAGGGCTACATTACCTCCACAGGGCAACTCCTATCTTAGAGAAGAAGCAGTAACACTCAAACCAAATCCTAAACCTCTGAGCCACAAGGCTCTGAGGAAGACAAGGGTACGGTTCTTCCCACTTGAAGCTTACCCAACACAGAACTGCTGTAGAAGTCCCAGGATACACCTGGGTCACCTTCTGCCCGGCCCTGAAGATCCGAGAGGTGATCTGAGGAAAGAAGAGAAGGCAGTGAGACCAGGACAGTAGGCTTGAAAGGAGCTGTCCATGCACGTGTGGCTGGGAGATGGGAGGAGGGAAAAAGTGCCTAGGCAGGGGCCAGGAGCGACCCACTTCCTGCTTCTGGGCCAAGGCCACAAAGCACCAGCCAGCAGCCAATCCAGCTCACCAACCAGCTGGGGTCTGACTTAATGTTTAATAGGAAAAAAAAACCCAAAACATTTAACCTCCAACAGTTTAGAACTTAGAGGTTTCACTGAAAAATCTGGATTTCCAAGTTTTCACCAAAAAAGAAAAAAAAATCACATTTGGCAACACTGTGTCTGCATTCCTTAATGTCAACAGTTGGCTGGAGGGAGCTGCGACATGTGCAAGCTCTAGTCCCCACCCAGCCTCTTCCCTCTCATACACATCAGCCCTAAGGCATGTAGTTCTGGGACCCCTGCCCCAAACTGAATAGGGAATTCCTCTGCACGCAGAATCCTAGATGCACCCAGCATTTTCATTCCCTGTTGGTTCCAATGTTAACAGATCTAATCATGATTTCTCTCTCTATCTCCCTCCTGTGCCTCCCCCCTCATTTTCTAATTTGAGACAAGGTCTCACTAAATCCTACGTTGCCCAGGCTAGGGTCAAGTTTGAGAACCTCTTCACTCTTCCAGAGTGCTAGGATTACAGGTGTGTGCCACCATGCCCAGCAAGCCTCCCAAGTAGCTGGAGCTAGGGGCATGAGCCCCATACCTGTCTATAATACATCCACAGTAGGGCTGTAATTCGTATGTCTCACTGCGGGGCAGCTCTGAATCACCAGTGGTGCATATATGATTGTCCCTTCGGGCGGCATGGGACAGTCCTCTCTGGCAGTACAAGCCATCTGATGGGAGTTATGCATGTAGCACCAGTAGTTCAAGCTTTCCGGAAAGTATTAAAGTAAGATAAGTGGCTGGGGGCAGGTGTTTTAGTTCAGTAGTAGAGCAAGTACTTAGCATGTGTAAGGCTGTGGGTTTAATTCCCAGCGCCAAAAGAAAACTAAGTGTAATTTCTTCTCTTTTGTCTTTAAAAATCATGGGGAAAATAGCCAGGTTTATCCTCATAGAAAACATTTTGCTTTTATTCACAGGTGTATACACAAAAGAACTGAAAACAGGTGTTCTAACAATAATTTGGGCATGAACTTTAGTAACAGCTCTATTCATGACAGCCAAAAGGTGGAAACAGCCCAAATAGCCATCCATGATGAGTGCATAAACAAATTAGGCACATCTATACAATGGAATATTATTATTATTATTATTATTATTATTATTATCATTATTATTTTGTGGTACTGGGTATTGAACTCAGGACCCTGCGCTTGCCAGGCAAGCACTTCTTCTACTGAGCCAACTCCCTGACCCAATGGAATATTATTTAGCCATAGAAAGGAATGAAGTACTGATACATGTTATAACATTGATGCTAACTGATCAGCCCTAGAGACAAGAGGCTATATAAAGAACAAAATACTGACACATATCCAATCTTGAAAACATAATGCCATATGAAAGAAGACAGTCACAAAGGCCACGCTACCTTACCCCATGTATATGAAATATCCAGAACAGGCAAGTCCATAGAAACCAAAAGCAGATTGGTGGTTGCCAGGGGCTAGGGAAGAAGGGAATGGACAGTGGTTCCTAACAGGGGCAGGAAAAAGTTCTGAAATTGTATGGTGGTGAGGGCTGTACAATATTGTGAATGTCCTATCTACTGAAGTATATCCTTTAAAATAGCTAGAATAGCAAATTTTATGTTGTGCGTATTTTACTACAATAAAACAACTTTCACTTCCTGGCCCTAAGGATGGATCTCAAATCACCCTCAGCCTCTTGTTTCCTAGCTGGACATCATCCAGGGGAACTGTTTCACCTCTTGGTCCCACATGGACAAAAATTAGGCCTGCTGGCTCTCATGACAAAGTCAGCTGTGCTACACATGGATGCATGGCCCAGCGCTGTCCAGAGGCCACCGACTTCACTGTGTGTTGTAGCCATCAGCCCTTAAGTGACACCTAGACTACAGGAGAGGAGAGTTCAAAGGGCATAGGGGATATGACGCCTGGAGGAAGTTGGCAGCCATTCTTAAAGGAGGGGCAGTCAACTCCCCAGTGGAAGGCAGAAGAACTACCCAACGTCACTCATTTTTTGCCTTCTTCTAGCAGTCAGTTTGCTTCAGTAGGAAAGGCAGCCAGACAGAAGCTTTCAAAGTAATGCCAAGCACCCAGGATGGCAAACCTTCAGTAATGCATGTCAGATCTTTTCACACTGCCAGCTTCTGTGCTCTTTTGTCCCTTCACCCACTTGAGGGAGTCAGCAGTAGTTCCTCCCAGAAGCATCTGTCAGGTAGAGTTCTACTCCAGTCTAACCCTGTGCTTGGGATTACGGACGGACGACAAAGGAAAGAGAACCAAAGCCTAGAAGGTGGGACAATGCTAGTCTTGTTCACTATTGCTTCCCCTGTGCCCAGCCCAATGCCAGGCACATCTTAACAGCTAGGGGGTATCTCAGCTAAGTGAGACTCTAAGAGCTTGCCCAACCAGCATGCCAAAACACATGAACATAAGACGGGCAGCCCCTCCCTGTGAGAGGTCACACAAGGGTTCCGTCAGAGTGCCTTGGAGCTCACCACATTCCTGGGGCTCCTCTCTAGGAACTGCCTTTGGAGCCCCCGGCACATTCCTCCAGTCCTGCAATAGCTGCATGTCTGCCTCATGCAGGTGAACTTGCCTTCCCAAGGTAGCCCCAGGTTCACTGGCAGGTGCAAAAGTGCCAAAGTTAGAACAGGCCCAGGAGCAGTACACAGGAGAAGCTCTGGACCTGCCTGCCGGGGCAGCCCCGATATATGTACCTCATAGGTGTTCACATAGTGTCAGAAGCAAGAGTGATTTTCCTTTCCCTTGAGCTTCCCTATCCCTGCCCCCAGCTTTGCTCCTATCCTTTCATTGAAAAAGTGCCCTGGGCCCAGCGATCCTCCCCCTACTTCTATGCTCTAAAGAACTGCAAATGGATAATCAAGCAAGTACTTCTGTATGCAGGACCACAGCAACAGCACTCATAACAATGGCTAGAAGCCAGACACAGCCCAAACGTCCATCAGTGGGTGAAGGGATAAAGGAAATGGGGGACATATGCACCTTGGACCATTACTCAGTCACCAACAGGAATGACTGAAACCAGTGCACTACCGGAAGGGAGCCAGGCACAGAGGTCCAGCCAGTGCGACTCTATATACAACCTCCACAATAGCTCCATCCATGGAGACGGAGCACAGAATGGTGGTTGCCAGGCACAGAGAGGAAGAGGAAAGGGGTCAACAGCTTCATGGTGCAGGCAGGGTTTCATCTAGGGCTGCTAAAATGTTCTGGAATTAGAGCGCAATGGTGGTTTCACAATGTAACGTATGCACTAAATGCTACTGAATTGTTTGCTTTTCAATAATTTGTTTTATCTTACATGAATCTTACCTCAAAACAAAAAGAAAAGCACCTGAGGGCCTCGCTGTAAGAGCAGAGCCTCTTACCTCCATGTGAGCCACAGCCATCAAAGTTTGTGTGTTTCCTAGGGCGCCAGATTACCCCCCCCCCACCTCCAGCCAAGTCACCAGATGAGCGACATGAAAGGAGAGAAAAACAAAAAGCTAGTGGTCTTCAACACGGGGTCATACAGCAAAGGTCTCTGGCAGGAAAAACAAAACCCTTCAATGCAGTGACCTCGGTGGTAAACTGTTAACCCTTTCATCGGCAGAAGGAAAGGCAGTCCTGATGGGCCTCTGGTGCTCCGAACCAGACTGAGACAATCACCCCCATCCTCAGCATGCCTTCCCACAGACAAGGCCAAGCAACTCTGTTTTCCTTTGGCCTGGATAATGCTCTTTTCTTCAAAGGGTCAAAGGTAAATCAATCACAGGTCTGGCTATCAGTTTCCTGAGGGGGAAGCCTACCACAGGCCTCTTGAAGGTTAGGGCCACTTGGAATTCCCACCCTGAAAATGAGGTAGGAAGGGTTTACTGTCTGGCCTCCGGCACCCAGCATGGCACCTAGAATCTAATGGGTGCTCAACAAATGGAGGGGCAGATGAACAAGTGAGGGAGTGCAACTCTGTCCTTCCTGAGTTTGGAAGAAATGGGCCTCACCTGAAGCCTGAAGTCAACCCGATGTAAGACAATCCACATTTACAATCAGGATGAATCACCAGCATCTTCTGCTTTACGAAAGGACGCACTGCAGAATACCTGCAAATAGTGACGATCCTTTGTACACCTAGAAGACTTGCGTCCCAAACAACTCTTCCAGAATAGGGGTCTTGTACAAAGCCAGAGCAGCTGTCCAGGAGGCCCAGTCCCAACCCTTGGGCCCACCTCTGCCTGCAGAAAACCAAGCCCCCTGTATCCTACAGGGATTCACCTTCATTTTCTGCCTAGTGAGGCTCCCACTGGGGGAAGATGAAGATAATCTAGAGAGTCTGGCCTGGCAGTGGCTTGGGGATGAAAAACTCTTTAAATACCTCAGCTAGACAGATAATGTTAAAAGAAAAAAAGGGCCACGTGACATATATCCTGGTGTAGGCTGGAGAGGAGGGTGGCAGAGGGGTGCTGCCATAGCCTCCAGCCTCAGGTAGCCAGCATCCCATCCACCCAGTGGTTCCTGACAGTTGGCAAGGAGTCATCCAGAGATTAAAAAAAAAAAAAAAATGAAGCAAATACTCAGGGTCAAGGTGTGAATAAAGCCCCTGATACTGATTGGCCAACATCATGAATGTATTCAATGTCGTTGGATTATTCACTTTATTTTGTTTTGTTTTGTTGTTGTCTTTTTGAGACAGGGTCTCAACTACACAGTTCAGGCTGGACTTGAACTCACTTTGTAGCCCAGGTTGGTCTCAAACTTGCAGTGATCCTCCTGCCTCAGCCTCCTGAGTGCTGGGATTACAGGTATGCGCTCCCAGGCCCAGATAGACTTTAAAATGGCCAGGCTAGATGGATTTCACCTTACCTTTTTTTTCTTGTTGAGACAGATCCAGATTGGTCTCAAATTCATGGATCATCCTATCTTAGCCTCCTAAGAGTTAGGAACACAGGAATGTGCCACTATGCCCACCTCAATTTTTCTAATAAGCCCCCCATTATCTTCTCACTCTCCCCCACCAAAATAGTCTTTGGGCCCAAGACCCCCTTCTGAGGGAGTCTGCTGAGTGAAGCCAGTGCCTACATCCCTGGGGGACCAAACTGAGGCCCTAGCCCAGATGCTAGAAGCTCCCAGAGCACCCGCTGGTACTCCGCCTTTGCATGAAGAGATGGCTCAGTTTCCAACTCTCCATTGGCTCTTCATCCCCATTAGTAAGTCTGCTCCATACCCACAGAGGTGAAGAACAATGTCTACCATGAACAACTGATGGGTGTGGTGGCACGCCCTGCAATCCCAGTAGTTGGGAGGCTGAGGCAGGAGGCTGGCCCAGGTGAGTTTAGTTTAAGGGCAGCCTGAATTACAGAGTAAGACCCTATCACCAAAAAAGATTGTGCTCAGTTTGAACAGGCTAGAAGTGCTAGAGTGAAAGAAAATCTTCTCTGAATTTGGCAACACAGACCAGCATTTGAGTTAGTTTAAGGAAGCATTAAAAAGCTGGCTGAGTTTGGATGATTGATTGAAATAAGAAAAGGAAAAGTGTTTATTGCTAAATTTTAATCTACTTAAAAATGGTCTCGGACTGCAGAGATAGCTCAGTGGCCTAAAGCACCTGCTTAGGCAAGCTTAGGCAGGTGCAGGCGACCACAGTTTGATCTCCGATACCACATGCTGTGCCAGCCCTGCCCTCAGGGTGGGCTGATCTGACAATAAATAAATAAATAAATAAATAAATAAATAAATAAATAATGGTCTTACCATTTAAAATCCTTTGAGCTTTTGAGAAGAGTTGGAGAAGAAAAGAGTTTATCTGCCTACTAAGTTGGTCAGACATCACTTCAGTTGGACCCAGAGAAGCCCAAGAACCTTGGCAGGGCACTTACTAGCCCAGAAAAGCCTCTGGGCTAGACTAGTTTGGCTTTGTTGTTGTTGATGCTGAGAAAGGTTTTTGCTATCATGGAACAGGCTGACCTCAAACTTATGCCAGTCCTCTGGCCTCATCCTCCTAAGTGTTGCGATTACAGGGACACGCCACATATCCAGCTCTAGATCAGTTTATGGAAGAGTTTCACGCAGTCCCTTTGTCATCCTGAGGCACTCTGATGCTTGCCTATGGCACATTTCGTGGGGATCCAGGGGCATGCAAGCAACAGGTGCATGGGTCTGAGAGTGCAAGTGGCCTGTAGGAGGCCGCAAAGGGCATGCTCCTGGCGATGCTCAGATAAAGCAGTCATCATTGGCCCAGGCCAAGTGAGTAAATGAACACCCCAAAGTTGCTCTGTCCCTCAAAGGCATGGGCCTGGGGACCCAGAGCTGAGGGAATAAAATGGAAAGGAAGCCCACCAATGTGAAGGCTGTACTCCAGGGTTCTGTCAGGTGACTGCAATCTGTCCAAAGACTGGCTGGGCAGAAGTCACTCAGCAGCTTTACATCAAACCTCTTCACACCTAGCTTCCGCAGTATAAAAGTAGTATTCCCTACCTGTTCCTCCTCCATCAGTACATTGGTAAAGGTCCCTCTTTCTCCCTCTATTACCAGCTACTTTGTTAACCTTTGCTCAATAAACAAATGAAGCCAGGCTTGGTGGTATACGTCTGCAATCCCAGCACTCTGTGGAGTCTGAGGCAGGAGAACTGCTGTGAGTGCCAGGCCAGACTGGGCTACATAAGAGTTCAGGGCCAGTCTGCACTACACAGAGACTCTGTCTCAAAAAATAAGGGCCGGCAAGATAGCTCAGTGGTCTAAAGCGCCTGCTTAGACAAGCGTAGGCAAGCGCACAGGGACCGAGGTTCAATCCCCAGCACCACAGGCTATGCCAGCCCTGCCCCCAGGGTGGGCTGAGCCGGCTACCAAAAAAAAAAAAAAAACCACAAATCAGGGCCAGTCAAATAGCTCAGTGGATTACTTAGGCAGACGAAGCAGTTGGGGTTCGATCCCGGCCTGCCATGCCAGCCCCACCCGTGGGGCACGCTGAGAAGGCGACTGAGACTGGGCATGGTGAGGTGCACCTGTAATCCCAGCTCTTTGGGAGGCTGAAAGCAGGCAGATAACTACGAGTCCAATCTATGTAGTGAGACCCTGTTGGCCCTCTAGACCCTTACTAAAATACAATAAATAAATAAATAAATAAATAAACAAACAAACAAACAAATCAACAATGAGCTGCTTGGTGGAAGCCAGGAATTGTATCTCTGGCAGGTGGAAGCTTGAGAATAATGGGGGGCAAACCATGTGAGAGGCAGGGGCTGTCTTAAGCTAGTGAGCTCCTAGTCTGAGAGGGGTGCTCCTGCCAACACAGAAACCTCTGATGAGGTTTAGAGATTCAAGTCCCAGTTGCTCGGTCACATGGGCAATCTGAGGAAGTATTTCTGAAGGCCAAGCTGTGCTGCCACTGAGAGGTGAGGATCCTGGAACTCCAAGGTTGACTCTGAAGAGTTTCCTACTGAACATGCCCAAACTAGACTACCCTCCTCTCTCTACCCACCTCTGCTGCCTAGCTCAAGATCTATGTATCTATCTGCAGGTAAACAGTGCTACCACTTGTCAGCAAATAAATACATGTTGGTTTGGGGCCCTCACCATGGGCCTGAACACCAGCCACTATTCCAGAAGGGGAATGGAAAGAAGGTGGGAATAAAGATTCAGGGAGGGTCCCAGGGATTCCACTTGATCACATACAGCAAATGCTATGAGTCACCTCTCTGCTACTAACACCCCATCCGTAGCACAGATTAACACATCTGGTCTCAACCTGATCTATTAGTGTGGCTACTGTCTCCACAACGAGGTCTACCTCAGACACCCAGCAGTGAAACGGGTCCCCGTGGAATACCAGGGTCCTGAAATGGATGCAATATAGACACAGCCACAGGGTTTTTTGAAGTACCTAGGAAAGTTAGAGAGGCTGAAGGAAACGTAAAGAAGCGGATGGGGGGCAATGAAGAGGGTCCTGCCAGGTTCAGGAGTCAAAGGTCAGCCCTGAGGCTGCTGGCTGCAAGTCTGAGCCACACTTACCACTGAGAAAGCGCTTCATGGTGTCACTGCTTGCCAGCTTCATGGCCGTCTGACCCGAGTAGGTGGCTAATGTGGGATCAGCCCCATAGGACAGCAAGAGCCAGATGGTTTCCAGGTTGTCATTGACCACTGCATCATGGACTGGCCTGTGGAGGTGACATAGGGTGAGAACAACAGGGTCACATGGTTGATGTTTAAGCTTTGGGCTATCTCATCGAGGAAAAAGGGCCATGACTCTGGGTAACCTGACTCCAATAATATGTGCTAAGACTTAGGGCAGGGGAAAACCTGCAAACCCCCATACCATCTGCCCACCTTCTTTTTCTTTCTCTGAAACCTTTGTCTCAGTCTCTTATTTCCCTGACATCTTGGGATAGTCCCTAAGGCACAATGCAGCTCTATAGGTAGTTTTATACTTCACCAGAAAATGAGACCCAGATGGAGGTGAAAGTTAAAGCAAAACAGAGGCAAGAACTGAAGGACCCAGGTGACTGCTAAACAGCAGGGATGCACAAAGTGGCTCCACAGTGGCCAAGTGGAGCCTGGCCTTTTGGTCTGGACCCTCCTTCTTGGTGTATAGCTTCTTTCTATTCTGCCCAAGAAGTTAAGTCCTCTGGCAGAACAGAGGAGACACAGCAGGTATATTATTTTATACATATGTTATATAATGTTCTCTAAGACACAGCAGGTATATTATTTTAAGTGCATAGAGATCAAATTACAGAAACCAAATTTGGACTGCTACCCTAAGGTCAGCTTCCCAGTTAGTTCCTAAGGTCTCAGACTCTTCTAAGACAGGTACCCCCCACCAGGAGGCTATGAAGGAAAATATTGGTCTTCTTGGCGATAGCTGCCTGGGATGGGACGACCCCTGAACAACGTCTGCCTCCCGTTAACAGCCAGAGCAGACTGGCCAACTGAGGGCTCATCAGCTCCTGCCCTCAACTGGCTGCCTCTAGAGAGCACAGAAGGCCTTCCAAAGGGTTCCCAGCAAGCCTCCCTGCAGCTCACAGCTTGGCGTGTTGCAAAGGTTGGGACTGGCGTGAGTTCTTTCAAGGGAGGGGCTGGGCTGGGTGTTGGGAAGAAGCAGCCTTCTTGCCTCGTGCCATCCTGGGCGCTGCAGTTCACGTTGGCCCCATGCTCCAGGAGGATGTTCAGGATATCAGTCCAGCCCCGGGAACAGGCCTCATGCAGGGCCGTATAGCCAGCATTATCACGGTGATTCACATCCTCGCTATCCTTCTGGAGGCAGTACAGAACAACGTCCTATAGGGACAGAGACAGCTTTTGAGCACAGATGTCCAGTTCTTAGAATCAGCCTGGTTAGAGGCAAAGATCCCAAGTGTCAAGGACCCTCTGAGCCAGCTGTTTATATCAGGGACTGACCAATGTATCTCAAAATCTTTTGTGAACAATGTTAGTCCTGAGCTTCCATGGCCAGTTCTAGAGAGTTTCTTTGGCAGTGGAGAGACATTTCTCATGGCCAAGAACACTTTTTTGGGTAGCTGTGGTTGGAGTGCAGTTTCAGAGAGGTTTCCCTGCCACCCAAAGCTTACACACTCAGACTTGGGACTCCTGGGCTTTGCCAACTAGGCCCAGGGCAGGGGTATGGGGCATGGGGTGGTGAGTGCAGCTTCTGGTCGTAATGCAAGAACAAGAAAGAGAGAACTTTCTTAAGTGCCATCCTTGGATGCTGGGCTCAGCAGGCAGGGGAAGGCTTGGTCGGCATTGTCCAGGTGTCCCTTAGCAGTTATGCAGACCTCCACACTACGTGCTCAAGAAAGATGGACTGCTTGACGGGACAGCACTATCAAGTGAGCTCTTTTATGCTGAGCAGCCTGGCTGGGAGTGGCTCCTTGGGTCACTGAGAACTTTTGTGTTTCTGACACAGGGTTTCACTGTGTGGTTCAGGCTGGCCTTGAGTTCACTATGTAGCCCAGGCAGGCCTTGAACTTGCAGTGGTCCACGATCCTCAGCTTCCCAAGTGATGGTCATGGGAGCAGTTATCAATAAAAGGGGCAATGACGAAAACAGGTGACAACTTAATTTAACCTCAGCAAGTGAGGCCATTTTTCACCCTTACCCTGGCACTCAGGAATCACAATATATTTGGATATAGATATAATTATTTGAGTACATACAAAATATACTTGAATATAGATGCATATATTCAGAGTACTGAATGATCTTGGACATATGTATTTTTGTACTGGGAACTGAACTTGGTATTGCACTTGCAAGGGAAGGGCTGTACTGCTAAACTATATCCCCAGCCCTTGGACATTATCATTTAACCCTGTTAAGCCTTGACTTTCTCATCTGTAAAATGCAGTTAATTAAATGTACCTCAGCAGGCTTACTATAATCTAAACTCTAACATGCCTACAGAGGTGCCTATTCAGTGAATGCCAGGGGTCTCTCCTGCCTTTTTTCCAATGTATAAGAACGTAGTACAGGTGGGGCTGGCTCAGCTTTGCACTCCGAAACTGTTCCTGCTCCCTCTACCAGGAGCTGACATGAGGTGAAGCTGCAGGAGGAGGTGAAGGGTTAGCAACAACACTCACTCCTTGTTCCTTTTACTAGGAAGCCACCACACAGGGAAATTTAGCAGTCAGTGAAAATCCCCAAGTCCCCCACCTACCCTACAAAGGTAGTGGGTGATATTGCCACTGATATTACAATGGGCTTGCATTCCCACACCCTGAGATGAGACAAGGGTGAGGCAGCCCCAAAGGCCATGTGAGAACAGTGGAGGAGGCCAGCTGGGACTCAACCCCTAGGGAAATCAAGGCAAGAAGCTCCTCCACTGGCCCTCCACTGGCCAATACCACCCTACAGTCACCAACTTAGGAGCTCACTCACCTTATAGCCCAGGCGTGCTGCTCGCTGCAAGAGGGTCTCACCAGCATTTTTGTTCACTATGAGCCGCCGAGCTTCAGGGGGGATCTGCCGGGCTGTAGGTGACTCTGAGGCCTCTTCTGGGCCGGCACTTCGGGACTTAGAGGGTGTACATGGTTCTGTGGGCTTTGCAGGGGTGGGAGATTTGGGGGACCGTGTCTTCTGCTGGCTCCAGCGACCTTTGCCCTGGAAAGCAAATGCAGTGCTGGGTCAGGCCAGACAATGTATTCTATCCATCCCCACGATGCTTGGCATCCGGGGGCCACTTCACCTCATCTGTGTGCCTATGGCAATTGGCTGACAGTACCCCAAGTAGTCCAGACCACTGTCAGCTTTAAGGCTAGAGGCTAGGCTGATTAGTAGCCATGTACAGTAATTTCAGCATCCTCCTGCGGTAGGGGGATTTGAAAAGTGTCAGATCCTCAGTCCCGTAAACCACAGAATGATGAAGGGTTTGGAAACCAGAGGTGGAGGGGACACCCCAGGACCCCCATGCACGGTGTATGTCTTCCCTGCCTGCCTCAGTCCTTATTCACTGAGGTGTGGATAAGCCATGCCTACAAGTAACAACGGCAAAGAGAAGCAGAAACAGCACTTTGACTACAGTCACAGTTCCTGATACCTTCACTCTTGCTGCAAAACCTGCCCTGACAACCAACCTCATGGGCTTTTCCTCTTTTGCTACACCTGTCACCAGATCATCTATAGGCATATCTTTTTCTGCCCCCCCCCCGGAACCAGGGAATTCAGGCATATCTTGGACGATGGAAGGAGCAGAGGCCTGGGAACCAGATAGGCTGGGCTTGAGGCTTGCCTCTGCTCCCCACCAGCTGTGAGACCCAGAGCCCAGCCCATTACCCCTGAACCTCCCTCTGTCCCTTCAGGGTCTTTAAGATAACAAAATGCTGCAAAGGCTGCAGAAGAACAAAGAGGCAGGGGCTCACAAAATGTCAGGAAAGTCAGGCTCTCATGAGTGATCCCTTGGTGCCTCCCTTGTCCCCCCATGTCGAACTGGAATCTCTACAGTGGGTTCCCATGCCTGTCCTCCTGCATATTAGTTCTACAGGGGCAGGACACCTATCTCTAATTCAAGGGTCCTGGATCAGCAGGACTATACTTGAGAAGCTGAACTCAAGGAACCAAATGGAAGGAGATGAATGTGCCCCCAACTTAATAAGTCAGATGACACAATTTGGATGTGAGGGCAATCTGGCTGTGACATCTGTCACCCTATTGATCACCAGGGCTGATTCAGCTTATCTGGCTGGCTAGGCAGGTGGCCCCTTCCTCCCTCAACACTCCATGTGTGTCTCTCCCAAAGCTACATGATCGGTCTAAGAGGCCGACCACCCCCAGTAGAGGAAGACCATTTCTTGGTCAATGGTATAGGAAGAAATGTACTCCCCTGCTAGAACCTCCAAAGAAGCTCTATAGATGACACAACTCTAAACTTGGGGCTGATGCCATCATTGGGCGAGAGTTTGGTGGGCCTTGGGAGGAGTGAATATACTTTGCATGTGGAAAGGACACAAGTCATGGGAGGCCAGAGAACTGTCTATTGTAGCCAGTCTCCAAGATGGTCCCTGAGGGTCCCATATCCCCTTATTTCTGCTCTTGGGTAGCCCCCTCCCATACTGGACAGTGCTGACCTACATAATCTAACTAAGAGGAGATAGTATATAACTCCCAAATCCAGGTTCTAAGATGTTGTGGCTTTTGATTTGTTGTCCTTTGCATCACCTGCTGTGGGGAAAGCCAGCTGTCCCATGTCTTGAGGATGCTTAGCTCTCCCGGGAATTCATGAGGAAAGGAGGGCTGCCTAGGGCCAGCATCACCTCACCAGCCACGTAAATAAACTACCCTGGACACAGATCTTCTGGTCCCAGTCATGTTCAAATGAATGCAGCAGGGCTGACACTTGGACTGCAACCTCATGAGAGACCCCAAGCAGGACCAGTAAGCTGCTCTTGAATTCCTGAGCCGCAGAAACTGAGCAACAATATATGCTCATTGCAGTAAGCTACTATGCTTTAGAGTAATTTGCTATACAACAGAGCAAATGCATACACATGCCTCACGGCATCACAATCTTACTTAAAGCCTATGGCTTCTATACTTCTAGAACACTCTGGTCCCCACCACCTTCTTCTTCTGCACATCCACAACACTTACTCCAATTCATATAATCTGATGCCTAAGGCCCCACTTTCTTCTTTCCTTCCAGTGTTCCATGGTTAGGAGTAACTCTTGACTCTCCTGCTAGGTTTTTTTTTTTTTTTTTTTTCTCGGAATGCCTTCAGGGCAGGTTTGGCTGGCTTGAGCTGTGGGGATCGAACCACAGCAACCTGAGCCTGAATGCTTGTTGAAGCAGCCACTTAAAGAACTGAGGTAAGGGGCAGGCCCCTAGATTTTTGTTTTATTTTAAACTTTTTGAGACAAAGATTCACTGCATTGTCCAGGTTGGCCTCCAGCTCCTGAATTCACGGAGTTCTCCTGCCTCAGCCTCTGTATCTAGCTCCTATGCTAGGTCTTAAGCTCTTTGGGTTCATATTGTTACTTTCTCTTTTGTTATAATACTAGGTTCAGGGCTGGGCACACTATTGCAACAAATATGTGGTGACTTGAAAAGTCAGTGGGAAAAAACAGCAGAAAAAGATTACAGCCCAGGGTATTTGTATTTTACCCAGCATCCACCAGTCCTGCCATCACATGCACCCTCTTCCTGGCTAAAGCAGCATTATACCTTCATAGACACAGTGTTTGTTTCCTCTGATAAATCCCAAAAAGGCAAACATACAGTCCCAAGCAGGATGGTGCATACAATGGCAGGCCTGGTGGATGCTGGGTAAAATACCCAGGTTTTCTCTAAACCAAACCAGAAGCCAAAGGGACTCTCTTTATAGGGGCCTTTGCTGCCAGAGTGCAGCAAGGGAGGCTGCCTGAGAGGGGGAGGATCAAGGACAAACAGGGGGAGCCCTCCCCCTCTCCCCTGGCTCTGAGCCCCTGTGGGAAGAAGCCCTGGGCCAATGCCCCACTTCAGTGTTGTAGGACCATCCCCTCCCTGCCACCCCCACCCTCTGTGCCTTGCTTCCCATTACAAAGCCCTGTGCCATGGGGGCAACTGGAGCAGGTGGTGGGGACTGGAGGAGAAAGAAAGTTAGGAAGGAGAAAGGGAGGCCCTGGGGAGGGACAAAACCCTCTCCAGGAGAACACTGTAGTGGACACATTGCCAGGCAGAACAAGACAGAAGCATCAGAGTGTCCCGCTGAATGCCAGACAGCTGGTTACCTTTGTGTGCAATGGGACCCTGTGAGTGTCTGGGGCAGAGCAGGGGGAAGGGCAGGGGAGGCAGGAGCCTGGGATGCCCACCTTTTGGCAGAGCTGCCAGGGTTGCGAGTGTTTCCTGCCCGACCACTCCCTCCCCCAGGGCCTGTGGTATCCAGAAAGAAGCCCCCTCTTCAGAGCCTGTGAAGCACATGGAACCGCACTGCAGGGGCAGATAAGCTTTTCCACACATCTCAACTCTGGCACTCAGGGCCTCTCCGCAATCTCATGTAAGTCCCTTGCCTCCCTGAGCCTCAGTTTTCTCCTGGTAAATAAAGGTCAATAAAAGTGCCCACCTGAAAGAGCCACTGCAGGAATTCAGAGCGAAAATGTGAACAAAGCCCTTAGCATATACCAGGGTTCCCTTTGGGGACAAAGGGAATGAATGCCACATATGCCAAGCCACACCATGCCTCTATTTCCTCATTTCTATCACCATCTGAAACACGAGGGTGTGTACCAGCCCTCAGAGGAGAGCACTTTATGGGGTGCAAAGCCGGTCACAGACATTGCCTCCTTCCCCCCTCCCCAGCACCTTTCTGAGATAGAAAGGGCATGGAGTGTCAGCTCAGCTTTTAAGTATGAACAAACAGAACTGAGTACCTTGTCTGGGATGAAATGAAGTTCCAGGACAGAAAAGGAGAGAAGGGGGAGACAAGCACTCACCCTTGCCAGTATCATCCAGGCATCCCAGCTGGAGAGAGCTTACCCCAACCACCCACAAAGCCCAACGTGGCCTTTTTTGTGGTTCTCAAAGACAAACATACATTTTACCTCACACTTGCACTTCTTTCAAATGTAAAAGCCCACCCAGGAGGAGGACTGTCTGCCCTTTTCCCTAGTAGAGTGTAGAACCTAACCTCAATTCTATGAATGTCAGACCCATATGAGATACAGATTTTCATGAGTGTGCTACAATACTGACCTGGCTGGTAGGTAAGTGGCCATTCTGATTCCTACGCCTCCCCAGATGCAAAGGCACAGGGAATGAGGGTAGGCTAGGGGGCTAGTGAGCAAAAGTGGAATTCCTTCAGACAGTCCCAGCCTCAAGCGACCTTTGTCTAGACATCAAAATTCCAATCTCTACAAGTTGTTTTCTACCTTGACTGACTCAAAAGTTACATGGTTAGTTTCCAGTTAAGCCCAGAGAAAAGCTTCTTGGTTGGATATCAACAAGCTCTTCAGACCAACATCCTGCTATATTCTTTAATTCTTCCTTAACTCAGAGGAGACACAAGGATTCTAAAGGAAACACATCATGGGCCTAACCCTACAGTTAGCTATAACTTTAGTTCCCTGCCTTCAAATGCTATCCTCAATTCTTCTCAAACTAATTTGGAAGACTTTAATACTAATGGGTTAATTAGATTACACTCCCTCCCTGGGAAGATTTCTGCTGGAGGAGTCTAGTGGAAAGCCTGCCTTCTCTTGTCTACTCCCGTCCCTTGTCCCGCTCCCTTTGGGAGCCATGTACCTTTGCCTCTTCTGTGACGTTTGCCATGTGCTTGGTCTTGCACTTTCGTTTTCCTGATGGCTTTTCAGGATTTTCAAGGCAGGCTGGCTCCTCCAGATTATTTGGGAGGAAACCATTTGGTGAATCCGAAATCCCCTGGGCTTTGCTGGGCAACAGAAGGTTCCTGTTCCTGAGGCGGTGCTCTGAACTTTGGGAGGAAGTCTTCTGTTTACGGGCCTTTAAATCTAAGCAAGAAACAGGAAAGAATGGGTGTCAGAGAAATGGAACCCATGGGGGCTGGGAAGATAGCTCAGTGGAATAAGTGCTTGCCTGGCAAGTGCAAGGTCTTGAGTTCGATCCGTGGTACCACAAAAAAAAAAAAAAAAGAAAGAAAGAAATGGAACCCTGAAAAATAATACCATCCTTTAAGAAGAATCAGAGAACTTTAAGGATTTGAACCGCAGTGTGAAGTTATATAACTGTGCTAACTCTTTCACTGAATGCTTCCTAAATGGACACCAAGACCAGTGTCTGCAAAGCAGGCGATAGCTCCCAGCCCTGCCAGCAGGGGGCAGTCCATCTGGCTATCCCTAGGATGAGGGCAATTCTGCTTTCTTTTTTCTTCTTTCTCCTTCCTCCTCCTTCTCCTCTTCTTCTTTCTCATCTTTCTTCTTTCTTCCTTCTTCTTGTTCTTTTGGTCTTGTTGAGACAGGGCCTTGCTCTGCAGTTCAGGCTGGCCTTGAGCTCACTCTGTAGCCCAGGCTGGCCTCAAACTCACAATGATCCTTTGGCTTCAGCCTCCCAAGTGCAAGGATTTCAGGTATACACCATCATGCCTGGCTGAGGGCAAACTGGAAGTTTTCGGCTGTTTCTTCATTCTCTTTGTCTCCAACACAAAAACAAATTTTAGTAGCTGTGCTGAAGTATCAAGTACACTGTGTAGATAGTACATGATATTGAAGGCTGCTTTTATTGCCTCAGATTTACCTACCAGACTGTCCTGTCACTGTCTGAGGACACCAAGATCAAAGCAACAGAACCTTCCCAAGACCAGAAGGTGCCATGGGCCAAATATGCTGGTGGGCGATAGCAGAAACCTGTCACCTTTCCCAGATGAAAATCAAGCCATTGTTGTCACTGGAACACAAAGGCAGCATCTCTAATTCTAGCCACAGACAACCAAAATAATTTTTAAAAGACCTACTGGGAACTCTGGTAGCAAGTGCCTCATCCCACTGAGTCTGATCTAAAGCCCACGTGTAGGGGTGGCAGACTGTTTACCCCAATCTCTTAACATTGGTGCTACATGTTTTGGCCACTATGCAATTAGAAACAAGCCATAATCTCTCTGAGCCCCAGCTTGCATATCTGCAAATGTGAAGAATATATATTCCAGGAGTGGGAAAAGAATTAAGTGAGTTAATATGTGCAAAACCCTTTATCAAGTCACAAAGAGTAAGACATCATTATTGTATTATTGAAGCACAAATACTTGTGGTAGGGCCATGCCTATGGGCTTTCTGTCTCTCCCATAGCACTGGATACCAGGCCTAGCGCACGACAAAAGATCACCATGTCTGTGAAGTGAATTAACTGTAGCCTCGGCTTCTCCATTTAAGAAACGAAGAAACTGAGATCTCAGAGTTCTCGGTTCACCTCCCCTGACTGTGATATGGACCCTCTTGTGTGAAGTTACCAAGGGCAGATCCAGATGTGCAAGTCATGCATCTACTATGAGGAACTGGCTGTAGCTTATGCACAGCTACTAAGAAGCTGGCTGTCATACCACCACTCTCCCCAAACTAGCCCAGTCCTCCAGTGGGTCCCCATACCCTGCTCAGAATTGCTGTGCTAGATGGTCTCTAACTGTACTTCCAACGAGAACATTCTAAACCAGGACTTTTGATGTAACAAGTTAGGGCTGTGCTAAAAGAGAAGGAACAGAAGAACCATGCCTTGTAACAACCTTAGGAAGTATGGGGAAGCCATGTTACAGCATCCGCTGCCATGAGGAAAACAACTGTTGTATACCCTATTTGTCTAAGGTAGGGCAGGCTGAGGAGTTGCAGAGAACAAGGTCTTTGGAATAGGAACAGGGAGTGGGGTTAACAAATGTGGGAGTGGAAGTGGCTCTTCCCAACCTCTTAAGTCAAGAAGATACCCAGCCAAGCCCAGGAGGAAAGGAAAGGTGATGAAGCTGACAGAAAGCAGGTGACCTGGCTATCTTGGCTGTAGCCTTCTCTGTTGACCTGAGAGACAGCAGGAGCTGGAAATTGGTCCTTTCTAAGGAGAGAGATATATGTGACGTATAAGGCAATTCTTGCATGAAGATGTCATCTCTTGGAGAAGGTGATGAGACCACATATCAAAGCTAGCTGCGTTAATGCAAAACGCTTCTATGCATCTATGGAGGGAGAATGACCTACTTTCCAACAATTAAACCTGCCCCCAGATCCAACAGGACACCCTGCTCGCTGGTGTTCTCCATGTTACTGTTGGCACTCAGATGGTGGCTAGCCAGCTCTCTGTCATGCATACAGTGGGAATGTCCTGTATCTCCACATTTAATGGCAAACTGGACCAGACAACCTCAAAGGTCCTTTGGGATTTCAAAGGCCAAGATCCAAGCTACGAAACCGGCCCTTACTAGAGAAAGTCCAGTGATACAAAATCTCTTCTTCATTGTAACATAAGTGCCTAAGGCCAATGGCTTGACATCTCACTCATGACCAATCCATTATGGTTCTGGCAAAAGAAAGCGAAAATTTTCCCTACTCACTTGAACAGTTGATGAAAATTAGTTCAATTACTCTCTTGAGCAGAGGGATAGTCACATATCTTGACTGAAACAGAGCCAGAAATGAGGTTAAGCCTTCTTTGCATTATAGCAAACCCAGAATCTATTACCCACTCAATGTGAGCTTATTCTGTTTTTGCTAACAAGGGGGCTGCAGATATTTATCAGCAATTCAGAATGAACATATTATAGCTCATCAATTGTTGCTTAAAGAGGAGAAGTTAGAGAATGAGAGGAAAAGGCAGAAATGTTCTTATGGAACCCAGAGATGTGTTTTCTTTCTCAGTTAGAAATCCACTATAGGAATGGGCCTGAGCAGTATTTAGTGGAGAATATCGATATTAGCCTTTTGTGACAGTAGGTGACCATGTTTCATAGCATTTGATGGGGCCAAAGAATGCCTGGTTTTGTCTTTGGGCTGCCTGCTTCCCCAGTTCAGATCCAATGAAAAAAGACGCCACCTTGGGTCACCTCAAAGCTTCACTCCACCTCTGGACAGTCTTTGTGGCTTTCACTGAGACAAAAAAGTTGTGTCTGCTTCTATTTGAAGTTCTTCTGTTGGTTTGAGGAAACCACTGGACTTCTTTTTAGTTTAGGGACCGAAGGCATCCTACAAAAGGCAACCAGCACTATCTTTCTTCTTGAACCCAAGATTCTAGGAAAGAGAACCTATCTTGCCCAGACCAAACTCCTTCAAGCCAACCTGAGAACTACCTGGCATGGCACTGGCATATACCAAGGATGTCACTGTGACCAGACCTACAGGTTCAGATATCTGGAAGAAACCAGGAGGCTTAGGCCTTTGTATTTTCAGCTCACCTGCAGGCCAGTCCAAATTCCTTCCATCTCAAGATAAAGCCAAAAGCTCGGGGCTGGAGTTGTGTGACCTCCTCTGGCAGCTGGAGGTCATAGCACCAGGAATCTATGGGTCCAGAGGCCTTTGGCTGGTATAGAGCAGATAGAGCTGTGACCACCACGATGCCCAAGAGAGGGACTGTGGGGACAGCAGCACCCTGGCCAGCCTTACCTGCTCTCCCTCTCCGCCGCTGTTCTTCTTGCTCCGTCAGGTACTCCCCAGTTTGATATTTTCGGCTCTTCTGCCGCCTCCGTTTCTTCCTCTTCACCAGGCCCTCCTCCTCATCTTCTTCCTCCTCTTCATTGGTATCCCACATTTGCCGGGCAGCCTCTGTCCTCCAAGGCATCTCTCGGGCTCGCCACAGATGCCTGCGGCCCTGGCTCAGCAACGTCTTGTCTTGGGCATGATGGCTGCGATACTGAGTGTCTCGTTGGGTCTTTCTCACCTTTCGACGCTTAGCTGGGGTGGGGGTCACCTCCTCCTCTTCCTCTGTGGGGAAGACTTCCTGGCTTCCCATGTCACTGTCTGCCATACCAGCAAAGGAGCTACAGATGCTTCCTGTGGATGGGACGTACAGAGGGCGGTCAGGTACCTCTTCAAGAACTAAGTATGGTGCTGGTATGAGTGCCCTGGACTAGGAGTCTGAAGGTCTGGGTTCAAGTTCAGGCTGTGCCAGTCATTAGTTGCACACTTTGGGAAAGTTCCTTCACTTCTGTGTCCTCTTCTATAAAACAGGGATACCGTTCTTTCCTTACTGACTTCACCAGGGCTGTTCTGGGTCTTAAATGAGATCTTTCACCTATAGGTGCTTTTCAGAGTCTGATATATAGATATATACAACTATCAAGTATTTAAAACACATACCCTTACCAAGCATTGTATGAGGGGCAAGAGAGCCACAGGGCCCCGTGGTTGGGGATATGATGACTGAGAAAAGGGTGAAGGAGGGCAGCCTGGCATGCCCCCCAGCTGCTGCTCACTCTCCAGTCTCACCAACCTTGCTGACAAGCAGAGCCATCCCAAAAAAAAACAGTCTAGGCACAATGAAACAAGGAGTTCCTTTCCTGTGACAGGCAGGGCTCAGTCACACCCAAAAGCAATGTTGAATCTGACCACACCCCGACTGAGCTGCCCAGACTTCCGGGGCGGAGTTTTCTCCCTGGCCCCTCCCCCCATCCCACTGCAGCTGTTCCTCACCACTGGGCAGGAACTTCCCCTCCAGTCCTGACCATCCAGGATGATGGTGCCTTTCCTGTCCTCCTGGGCCTCCTCGCCAAGAGGTCATTTTCTCTCCCCACTCTTTCCTTTAACTGTGCTAACAACAAAAGTACAATCCAAAATTGGCGTGGTTTCACACTACAGGAGATCTGACACCTTCCTTGGAAGCAGCTGTAAGACACTACCATCTTTCTCCTAAGGCCCAGTTGTTAACTCAACAATCCCCAGAACTTAGCGAGGTCAGTAGAAGAAAGACATAGTTCAGGGCAAACAGAACTGTCCTTGCCCAAAGATTCAAGATTCCTTGCCCAAACAGTCAGACTATTTAAAGACAGCAGCAAGATCCAGGTTAATGCACAGTCACCAGAGAGATCACACAGGGATCACCGATTTCTAAAGAATCAAATACAGTACACATTTAATGCTAATATGGGGCTGGCTGTGATGCAATCAGTCTTTCATGATTCAGAGGATACTTTAGGATTTTGCGAGGTCCCCAGGCCATCAGCACGAGGCCCAATTACCAATGTAATGGCCATGTGCTGAGGTGCCAGGTAAAAGAATGTCACACTGTTGAATTTCCATAGTACCCTGTATCCCCATTCCATCCAATGTGCATAGGAATCCAGGTGAAGCAGGGCAACCTTCTCAGGCCCTGTGTACCAATATAAAATCAGCAAAGGAGAGCGGAAGCTGGGAAGGACTGTCTAGTCTAGACTCCAGGACTGACTGATAAGAGTTCAGGATGCCAAAATTGAGTCTGCCAACCCTGACAACACAATACTCTTCCAAATTTTGACAGTGCATACCACAAAGGGCAATAAAATCAAGGCCCACAGGTTAAATGTCTTTGACTTACACAGGTCCCAGTGATCATGACATGCCCATGCTTAGAAAAGAACCAGTTTTCTTGAGTAGCACAGGCCTTTCCTTTTTCCACCATCCACTCCCAATAAGAAATGTCAATCCCCTTCTCTGGAAAGCTAAGTGAAATCCTAAAACCATGGGCGATGGGCAACACACCATGTTTCCATCAGGGCTCTCTTGTCTTTGCATGGGGCCTTGGCACAAGGAAGCAAATTCCCAACTCTCCACCTGGGCCAATAGCAGAATTACTCAACCAGATGTTGCCCCCTCTTTTTATAAAGGGAGCAGGATGGGCCAAGCCTCAGTCTCACTCACCAGACTGACTGCGTGTCCGGGTGCTCAGAACCACTGGGATGAAGTCACGGAAACTGCTCTTTGCTTTCTTTTCCAAGGAACCTATATTGTGTGATTACAGGGCAGAAGGCAGAAATATCACAAGCAGTGTCTAAAACCTGGAAAGGTCACCCGAGAGGCTCAAGCGAGAAAATCAAGGGAGGGTTTGTTTCTGAGACAGTCTCACAGTGTGGCCTCAAACTGAAAGTGATCCTCCTGCCTCAGGGCTCCAGAATGCTAGGATTATAGATGTGTGCACCACACCCAACTCTAAGGTCACTGGGATAGCCTATACACTCACCTTATGCTGCTAGCATATACCTATCTCCTTTAGAGACTGGAACAAGCATATTCTGTTGGTTTTTAAAAACTGAGAGTCAGTTGGTTCATTTTTGTTGACACCAAAAAAGGCAGCACACAGAATCAATCTGACAGCACACCAGAAAGTAGGAGACCTGGTCACCTGCATGACTCAGAGGCTGCTGTACCTCCACAGAGTTACAACTCTGCTGGAGCACATCTCAGTGAATCTTACTGAAGTGGGAAGATGGGAAAAAGGGACACTAAATACAGGAAAACTACTGTCTGAGAGCAGACCAGACAGAGCCTGTCATGTCAGAGGGGCAAGCCCGCAAACAGGATCCACTGCCATCAGGAATGCATGGCCCATTAAAAAAAGGGGGGGGGGTGAGATAGTTTAGTGGACTAAAGCGCCTGCTTAGGCAAGGTTAGGCAAGCACAGGGACCGCTATTTGATCCCCAGCACCACATGCCACACCAGCCCCCACCGCCAGGGAGGGCTGAGCTGGCCACCAAGATCAGGCATAGTGGCGCGCGCCTGTAATCCTAGTGCTGGGTTGGCTGAAAGCAGAAGGATCACCGGGAGTCCAAGCTGCATAGTGAGACCCCGCAACAACCAAATACATTTTTTTTTTAAAAAAGGAGGGTTGGCCAAATAGCTCAGTGGATTAAAGCACCTACTTAGGCAGATGCAGGGGCCATGAGTTCCATCCCCAACCTACCTGCTGGCCCCACCCCCAGGGTGTGCAGAGCCAGTGATTGAGACTAGGCATGGTAGTGCACACCTGTAATCCCAGCACTTGGGAGGCTGTAAACAGGAGGATTACTACAAGTCCAATCTATGCAGTGAGACCCTGTAGACCCTGCCCTAAATACAAAAAAAGAAAAGAAAAAGGAATGCCTGGCTTCTCTCCCTGATGAGGGCACAGGGTACAGAGGGACCATCTATGGCAGAGGGCACATGTCAAGGACACCCCCCCACCTGAAACAGCCTATGCATCCCTAAATGATGAGGGTTTAGGACATCTCTTAAACCCTTCCAACTAGCTAGTAATCCACATTTTAAAATTATTTTTTTAATATTTATTTACTTATTTGGTACAGGGTCTCACTGGGAAGCTTGGACTTATAGGGAACCTCCTATCTCAGCCTCCCCAGCACTGGGATTACAAGCATGTATCATCATGCTGAGTTTTGGTGGCTGGTATGGCATGCCTGGGGCCAGCAAGGCATGAGGTACTGAGGATTGAACCTGGGTTCTCGTGCTTGCCAGGCAGACACTTACACTCCCCAGCCCTCTATTTCTTTTTGAAGTGAAACTTTTTCAGTATATACAAAGGTAAAGAAAATAGCATAATGAACTGTCATTCTGCTGTTCTTGTCTAACTCCTCTACATCTGTGTCTTCTTTGAGCCTAGACCCACTTCAGGGAATGGGGTGGCTACTCTGGTACAGGAATACCATCTGCCTATCTATAAGCTCCTCCTTTGGCCTCCAGAGTATCCTGTACACTAGTGTGCTAGGCAGAATATGCCGCTGCTTACACTTCCCATGTCTTTGACTTTAAAAGTAGAAATTATTAGAGAAGAGGAAGGAGATAAAAATTGGGGTGGGAATGCCGGGCATGGTGGTGCACGCCTGGAATCCAAGCACTGAGGGAAGCTGAGGTAGGAAGATCCTTGCATTGGAGACCAGTCTGGGCTACAGAGTTCAAGGCTAGCCTGAACTGCATAAGGAGACTCTATGTCAAAAAGCCAAAAAAAAAGGAGGAGGGCAAGGAACAGGGAGAAGAGGGGTGAGGGAGTGTACTAGGAGACGGATATGAACAAAGTATATTATATACATGTATGAAAATGCCACAATGAAACCCATTACTCAGTATAATTAACATGCACTAGGAAGCTAGGCGTGGTGGCACAAACCCCAGCACTTGGGAGGCTGAGGCAGGAGGACCACTGTGAGTTTAAGGTCAGCCTGAGCTACAAAGCAAGCTCAAGGCCAGCCTGGACTATGTAGGGAAACCTTGTCTCAAAATAAAATAAAACAAAACAAAGCAAATATGAACCAAGTGTCAATCCTATCTGCTTTTCTTTTTTTTTTCTTTTATTTCTTTTATTTTTTTGGCGGAACTAGGGATTGAACTCAGACCCTTGTGCTTGCCAAGGAAGTGTTCATTCCACTGAGCTATCTCCCTAGTCCCCCTATCTGCTTTTCATATTGAAGGCTCACTTTTCCAGGGTAGGTTCCTCTACCTACCCACATCAGCATGCCACAGGGAACCCTCTATCCAGGGCCAGGGCATCAGGGGCCTACCTTCCTCATGGCCATCAGCTCGTTTTCCTGGAGATTGGGACTCTGGCTTAGTTGGCTTCCGGTGCTTGTGCTTTCCCCTGACTCCATTGTGCTCTTTTCCTGAATCTGAGGTCCCCCTGGGGCTTTTCTTGGTTGGTTCCTGGGGGTCAACAGGTGGCTTCCGGCACTGTGGAAAGGTACAGAGTGTCAGGTCTGACATCAGTTTAGTTTCTTAAGAAAGCTCCTAGGGTTGAGCCATATGTCTGATTCTGACACACGGGCACGAGATGCCCAAGCTTGGGGCCCAGAGGGCAGGGGCTTCAGTGGGCTTCAGAGGCCCTCTTGGAGTCCAGAGCCCTTCCTGGTCCCCATAGACATCGACTCAAAAGCCACTGCACACACACTTCAAAAGGCGCAAAGTCAGGTCCCATTCTATACCCAAACACCAGTGGCAAGATGAGCATTAAACAACAATGCTTCTTCTGCAAGCTGGGGGGCTACATTGTTTAAATAACTTCATGGTGAATGGTAGACACTGACAACTGAAAATAATTCCCAATTTGGGCCAAGTCAAGAAAAACTGTCTATTTTCATGTGTAAATTAATACCAGAAAACAGATTTAACTAAGGCAAGCAGAAAACAAAACAGGGGTAATTCTCATCTCACATTTATGAAACACAACAAAAAGGCCCAGGCATGGTTAATAACACCACTTCATACTCGACAACACTTTCAACCTCTCAAAAGTCCCTCATCTCTATTATCTGATTTTATCCTCCCAACAACCCTGAGAGGAGAAGTTAACACTATTCCTGTAGCGCAGAGGGGGAGGAGAGGCTCCAAGACAAAAGGATGAGTGGCTCTTCCAGAGCAACACATGGTCCAGTTTGGGGAGTCCCTGGGGGGCTGGCACTCACCAGGCCACCCTACAAGTTAGCTCCACTGCATGTGCAGAGCGGAAGCTGTGGAGCTGGCTGAGCCCCTGGCCCTCTCCCCACCTCCACTGCTGCCCCTTTGGGTCAGCTCTCACCACCCTCCTGGCCGGTGCTTCCTTGGCCACTTTTGTTTGGCTCCTCCCCAGCAAGTGCCAGGGGCATCCCATCTACGGCTGTGCTCATGCTACAAGGACGCTCCTGGCCTAACAGTCACAGATTCTCAAATGCTTTGAGGAGCCTCTGTGTCACTACATAAGAACAAGGGCAAGGCAGGGATTTCTAGTGACCTAGTATCCTGGGAGTGCAGAATAAGCAAAACTTTTGAACAAAGAGAGCAAGTCTTAGAAGGAAAGGAAGAATTAAACCTGCTTGAATTGTTTTTCTCTTTAAGCAGATCCACCTCACCTTCTAGAAGGTTAACCAAAGGCTAGATCCCACTAAGGGGATGGCAGATATTCTGTGGGTGGACACTTGAAGGGGGCTCAATTCCGTGGACACAGGGAGTCCCCACTACCAATCAGATTCCAAGGGCTCCCCCATCCCATGAACTCGTCCTGTTTCTTATTCAGGAGAGGGCTGAGCTGAAATTCAAGTGCAGTTTCTCCTTTTGCTTGCTGCCAGTTCCTACGAAATAAGTGGCAAGAGAAGGGAAGAGCTGGGGAGGCAAGTGGAAGATGGGAACAGCTGCCTAAAGTCTGAACTTCAGGTATGGCCAGAGAAGACCATTTTAAGTCAGGGGGAATGAAGTTAGATGCACATATATTTGAACATGTCCTATTTATTTCTGAATATCATTTTGAGTTGGCTCTTTCAACTATAGCTCATTAACTTTTACTTCCGAAGATAGATTAAAAACAAGTAAAACAGAACATCTAAAAAGGATTTCTGTCTTATCAGCCACAAGGGCAGTAGAGAAAGTAAAAGTATGTTGTGCACTCTAATTACACAAAAAGCTATGAGGATGGGGAGATTGTGTTAAGATGTCCTGGTTAACCGAGTTTTGATGTATTTTCCAAAGAACGAGAAGACAATAAAATACACCCAGCATCAAACGAAGCACAATCCTTCACTAGGTGTGACAGTTTGTGTGTATAATCCCAGGTACTCACTGGGCCAAAGCAGGAAGACCACAGGTTTGAGGCCAGCCTGGGCAAGTTAGGGAGACAATGTATAATGTATGAAAATGTAAAAAGGGAAGAAGGCACATCTCAGAGTGAAGGCCCTGAGCTCAATCCCCAATGTTGCCAAGGTAAAGTAAAGAAAAAACAAACACAAGAAAAGGACTGGAGGGGGACCTGGCCCTAGCTCAGTCCTTTAAGTGGCTGCTTCCACAAAGCTGTCAGCCTCAGGTTCCTGGAGTTCAAACCTCACAACTCTCCCGCTGGCCAAAAGTGCCCTGAAGGCATTCGAGGAAGAAAAAAAAAAGAAAAAAAGAAAAGGACTGGAGATGTAGCTATGCAGTAAGGCCCTGGATTCAATCCTAGTGCTGGAAAAAAAAACCAGAGAGGGAGCACAAGTCTCTTAGCTGCTGATCCAGAAGGCTCACTAGGGCTCCAGGAGACCTTGGGCAAGTGATACAGCCCAGAACAGAATGTTCTTCTCTGGCCATACCTGAAGGAGCTTTTTTTTTTGCAGTACGGGGGATTGAACTCAGGACCCTGCGCTTGCCAGGCAAGCGCTTATTGAAGGAGCTGTTTTGAATTAGCTCTGATGTTAGTTTTCTTATCAACAGTTTCTTCCTCAGGAAAATGAAACATAACAAAGAAAGAGCTAAGTTCTTTGGATTCCTGAAAACCGGACATTTACCAGATCATCACTGGCAGTCACAAAGGACTGTGACTTTATTCTCTGTCCTCTGGATTTGTCTATGTGCCCGCTGAACTGTTCACCTCATAGACAGGAAGGGATTGGTGCCTGCCTGTCATTGAGTCATCGGCAAGATATAGGCTCTAGGAGGACAGGACCCACATCTGTTGTTTGTAACAAGAACAACAGAAACAGTCACCACTAACCCTAACTGTGTACTTACTATTTGCCAGGTCCTACTTTAGGCACTTGGATATTGCCCCATATAATCTCAACAAAAACTTTATCAAGACATGCTATTCAATTCACTGATTTAAAGGTAAAACTGAATTCTCTTCACGAAGTCACAGAGCTGTACAGCCATCACCAGCTCTCCAATTCTTAGATCTTCTTGTGACTCCCCAAATCCCCCATCTTCCCTAGCTCTGAACAACACCTAATCTATTTTCTGTCTGCATGGATTTACTTATTCTGGATATTTCACATTTTCATCTCATTTTATCTTCACTGCACAAATGTGGAGATGGAGGGTCAACAAGACCAAGTAGCTTAATGGATGCTGCACAGCTAGGAAGAGCTGAGGCCAGAACTCAACGTCAGGTTCTGCACCTAGCAACAGAGAGCACACTGCTCTCAGCCCACTACACACCTGCCCGCAGGTGTATTCCCACACTGGTGAAGGACCAGCATATGGCAGCCACGTAACCAACACCTGCTAAACAGTGAATCAGTTCCAAATAGAGAGTGGAAGACAGTGTGGCAGAGGTGCTGAAGAACATGGACTTTGGAGCCAGAAAGACCAGAGTTTGAGCTTTAGCTTTGCCATTTATAGCTCTGTCACCTGAGTCACATATCCTCCTGGAGCCTATCTCCTTCATTTGGCCATCTGAAAACTGGATGTGGCTTTCACCTTATGGGATCAGTCTACAAATTAAATCAGGTAATGTGTAGAAAAATTCAGTGTAAGTAAGAGTTTGATGCTCTAAGTTATTATCACAGAACAGAATGTAATTTACCTGACCAAATGCCATAGCTCTAGGTCATATCCTAGGTCACTGAGTTAAACCCAGCAAAACTGGATCCCAGGATGTCTTAACCTGGAGTCTGTGAGTGAGTTTTCAAGAAGGAGTAAAGGAGGTCTTCAAAGCCCCTGCAACTATTGGCAAAGTTCTAAGGCCATGTTTCTAGGGACAAAGCCCATCGGTCTCATCAATTTCTCAAAGACATATACAGTCTAAAATCACTAAGAGCCCAGTGTAGTGCCACACACCTAAAACCCCACTACTCAGGTATTTGAAGCAGGAAGATCACCATGAGTTCCAGGCCAGCCTGAGTCCCATAGTTCAAGGCCAGCCCAAACTACATAGCAAGACCTTGTCTCAGAAAAACTTACAAGTCAGCCCCACCCCAGACAAAAAGGCCTATTTAGAAAACTGTCAGCAAATACAGGTCATATTCACTTTACAAAAGGCTCCTCTAATCTGAGCAGTTCACTCAGCCACTCTAGAACACTGTGCTCAATTAAGGAAGTGACCAACACAGTAGAGCAGAGTGAAGCAGACCAGCAGGGCCTTGGCCCCCTCCCTGACCTCAGCCCAGGCACTGACCCTTACCTTGGATCCCAAGGAACTGCGGACTAGGGGCTTGGCTTGTGGCTGCTGCTGCTGCTGCTGTAGTTCCTCTCCTTCCTTCTCTTTGCCACACTTCATCTTCTTGGGTGGCGGAGATTCTGGCACTTCATCCGACTGCCACTTGCTCTTGCAAGCAAAGCCCCCAACGCTTTCCCGTTTTACTCGAGCCTGCACAGTCTTAGCCCGGGCTTCGGCTTGGCCCCTCTGAGGAGCTACTGAGAGTCCATCGGCCCGGAAGCAGGTGGCTAAATTGAAGACCACATCACCATCTACCTTCTCCATTTTCACCCGCCCCAGGTCCACCTGGCTTCCAAGCTGTGAAAGCTCTGTGCTGGAGCCCCTCTTGCTGCTCGGAACCACATCCAAGATGAGTTCTTGGGGGTGGCTGTCATGAGGTAGCAAAGGCAGCTCAGGCATCTTGCACAGGTTCTGGGGGGTGGCCAGGACCAACTCGTGGGACATGTAGGTGGCTAGCACTTGGTTTTTAGGCTTTGTGTCTCCTGCCAGCTTTAGGCCACAAGCAGCCTGGGACCCTTCCATTTTAGGAGTGCTATCAGAGCAGAGGAGGCTCTCTGATTCCTCAGAGCCCTGATTCACTCTTATGTCCCCACTGCTAGGCTGAACAGACAGCGCCAGAGTCCCTGTCTGAGGGCTGAGAGTCAGGAGGACAGGGTTAACTTGTTCTTCGTAAGGCTTGGCAGCAATCCGGCAAGTTTTGTTCTTTGTGACCGTGTCCTGCTCAGAAGTAAAGGGGCCCCCGGACCGTGGCTGCCCTTCAGGAAGTCCATGCACAGCTTCACTGGAGCCAAGAGATGGCACACCAGAAAACTCAGAAACTACACTGGTGGGCCTGATGGGCACCCCCTGACTGGGGGTCAGCTGCCCGGCACTGGAAATGCCAATGGAAAGCAGAGATGCCTGGTGGTACGGTGACCAGCCAACAGGCAGGACCTGGGTGCTGGTGGGTTTCCCATTGACTGAACACCGTGGATAAATATTTGCTGGCCCTGTAGGTTTCCAGAGAGAGAGCTCCTTGCTTTGGCACCCCGGCAGCCCAGGCGCAATGCGGGTTGGGGCATAACGCGTTTTCGCTGTGCTTGGCTGTCCCTCAGCACCAGACTGGCTGCCCTTCTTGCCACACGTGGCACCAGTGCTCTTAGGCTCTCCTTGATCAATGATGGAGATGGGCTCCTGCTTTGGGAGGTGGCGGGGATCTCGGCTGAGGCCCAGATTGGGGTCCTTGTTCAGCAGCAGGGATGCAGGCACTGGGTTAGCCACTCCCACATAGGTGCCGGGAATGGTGCTGATCAGCGCAGTCGAGTTCTTCACCCAGGTGCTTGGGTCCCCATTCCTCACAATCTCGGGGAAGATGACAAAAGGTGAAGAAGTAGAACCCAGGCAGGAGGTGACGCTGCTGCCAGCAGCCTGGGCTGTGCGCTGAGACCTGGATAGGACGGTGGAGAGCAGGGCCTTGCTGCTGGTGTGCACGGGAGTCAACACGGGCATAGGAGGCGTCTTGCGCTGGTTCGGCAATGGAAGCTTCTGCCGATTGGACTTGGAAGAGAGGTCAAGGGGCATCTCACTGCACTCGGGTGGAGAAGCCATCTCTCGTTCCAGCTGGGGAGGTGACTTGAGGGGAGAGAAGGTAATGGAAGCCCCTTCTGTTTGCTGCTCACCTCCACCTGGCATCTTGGTTGGGTGTGTTGGAGCAGAGCTCCCGCTGGGGGCTGGCAGCAAAGGCTGTGGAGTTGAGAGCACCTTGGCAGAAGCAGTGGTGAGGGAGGTATCTGCCAAAGGCCTGGGGACCCCATCAGGAGCTGGCTGGGTGGTGCTGCTGCTGGACGGGGAAGTACAGGGGAGCCTGTTCACCTCCAAAGATACCAGCTTGGAATCGGAAGTCAGAGGCCGGGCCACAGAAAATGCATATGGGTAAGACCGGAGCTCTGGGGTCGCAAGCACACCTGGGAGACACCTGTCCTGCAGGTAGGATGGCAGGACAGGAAGTGTAAGAGTAGAGGAGACCCCCAAGGTTGTTGGCAGTGTGGCCACACTGAGCGGCTGCCCACAGCTCGGAGGTGGGATATATACCAGTGGCTGGCTCGGGGTCAGCACTGTCCCTGGTTGAAAGGACAAGGGGACTTTTTGCATAGCTGGTGCCTGAGCTGCTGGAAAACACACTCGACTCAAACTGAAGGAGGCCGGGATGGGTGCCGAGGTGGGAACAGCAGTTGGTGTGGCAGCCGGCATGGGTGTGGGGGCCGGAGTAAAGATGGGGGCAGGGGTTGGGGCAGGCACTGGTGTAGGGGCAAAGGCAGGAATAAGGGTGGGCGTAGATGGTGGGCCAGAGGAGGGAGTTGGGGTGGGCATTGGCACCGATGGAGGGGCAGGAGCGGCTGGCGGTGTGGATGCCGGCATGGGTGCCAGAACCGGAGTAGGGACAGGGGCAAGGACCAAGGTGGGAGCTGAAGGAGGCACAGGGGCCTGGATCAGAGCCAGCGGAGGTGCTGAAACTGGGACAGACAGAGGGGTAGGAGCAGGAGCTGACAGAGGAACTGGGCCCGATGGGGGAGCGGATGCTGGCACAGGCACCAAGACTGAGGCTGAGACCGACAGGGGGTTTGAATCTGAGATGAGGGTGGGAACTGAAGGAGGGGCCGAAGCCAGAGCTGGGACTGGTGCTAGGGGAGGGGAAGGGGCTGCAACTGAAGTGGCAACTTGGACTGGAACCAGCCCGGAATGGGGTACAGGGGCAGGGACAGAAAGGGGAACCTGGAATGGATCAGGAACAGACGGGGGGACAGAGACTGAACCGGGAGCAGGGGGACAGATGGGGGCTGGCAGGGGACTGAAGTTAGTGGTAACCAGAGGCAGGGTCCCCTCCACAGGGACTCCCGTTCCCAGAGTAGCCAAAATGAAAGTGTTCTTGTCCCCAACGCTGTGCCGAGAGTCCAAAGCCTTTACCCCAGGTGGTGAGCAGTCAACCTGTTTGCTCATTTGGGTGCTGAGGGGAGTCCAGGAACACTCAGCCCTGCTGTCACTGGCCTCGGCGCCGTCAGGCGTGGGCAGCTTGAGTCCGTCCCCTGGGCTGCTCAGTGGCACCAGGAGGCCCTCAGCTTCTGCTGCATTCCCGGCATAGTCCATTTTTGGCTGGGGATCATCAGGCTGGTCTTCTGACTTGTGCCCAAGTTTCTCTGTCGCACTGCCATCTGGGTCTGCCCCCCGGGCATTGCTGCCACTTCCAACTGCTGTGAGCTCCACCTGCAATGACAGAACAGTGTGACCATCTCTGCAAGTCCCCCAGGGCTGGTACAAGTGTCCCGAGGCCCCTGAAAGGCAGCTGCTTGTCCTCTCTGCAACTCAACCAACTAAGTCTTGGTGGAATAAAAGGCAGTGGCCAATTTTTGTCCCACCTGCTGCAAATCCCAGGCCATACCCCCACCCCTGCCTGGCCCCACATCAGGATGATAGACTGGGCACATCTCCCAAGCATTAGAACTGCACCCTTGGTGGCTGCATGTAGCACCATACAGCTTCTTACCTTGGAAAAACTGCTGCCGACACAAAACTCCTGAGACCCAAAGTGCTGGCAGTCACCTGTCGTGGACTCCTCATCAGAAAGAGGCGCTCTTCTGGCAGGGACACAGGAGCAGAAGAGGGACATGAGATCAGGCTTAGAGCCACCCTGCTCGTCCCAGAGGCCCCCCACTTAGCCTGCTTTCCAATAAGCCTTGTCTCTCTTTCTGTGGTGGTCTGGGGGCATCACAAGGTACTGGGGGGTCCAGACCTCCACACACAGCTTTACAAGTTCTTGCAGAGTAGCTAAGTCTGGCCAGACTCCCCTCCTTGTGCTTCTTATCCTGTTTTCTACGGATCTTGCCAGGAGTGTGGAAGACCCCAGTTCCTTCACCTTTTCCCCAGAAGTTACTCATCAACGTAACTATGAAGGATGTGTGGAATATTGCCCTAAGTCCCAGAGATGGGAACCACCTCAGGCCTCTGAAGGCACACAAACCATTTCCCTTTCTTTGTTACCAGGAATTGAACTCAGGACTTTGCATTTGCCAGGCAGGTGCTTTGCGCCGCTGAGCTATCTCCCCAGCCCACCAGTTTCCTTTTAAACAGGATTTTATTTGAAGTTTATAAGGAAAGTGGGCTGAAGGCATCATATGGGTGATCCTTTCCTGAAACAAATCACCATCCCCATCATGTTTTCAGGTCTAGTCTAAGTCAGAATCACACCAGGACTGGTGGCATGCACCTATAATCTAAGTACTTGGGAGGCTGAAGCAGGAGGAGCACCATGAGTTCAAAGACAGCCTGGGCTACATAGTAAGTTCAAGGCCAGCCTGAACTACACAGTGAGACCCTATCTCAGAGAAGAAAAAAATTAATTAAAAATAAATAAATAAAAATAGATCAGAATTGTCATCTCTTCCCTTGATGAGCCTGCCTATGGACAACACACCTTTACTAACAGAAGTGGAAATATTGACTTGAGGCTACCAGGTCACTGGGAACCGCGGGGCACATTAAGGATACTATTTCTTCCCTCCAAGGGACAGTTCCCTTTTCTGTGCAGATCTGCGTGGCTCCACCCAGCTTTCCTCTCACCTCCCCCTACCTCTGTCAATTCCCCACCCTTCCTCTGACCTCTTAGCACCCACATTTTCTCTCATCCCCAAGGGCAGCCCTGTGACCAGACACCTAGTTCAGGGTCATATGGCCCAGAGGCCAAAGCTGGGTCCCAAAGGGGAAAGCTCAACTTTCCCACCACCTATTCAGGTAAAAATCAGAAAACAGCACATCTGGGAACCTCCCAAAAGAGGTACAGACTGGGAAGGTGAACTTAAGGAGCAGACAAACACCCACTTGCAGTCTGTAGTCTTTCCTTCAGTGCTGGGGGATTAAACACAGGGCCTTACACATACCTGTTCCATGCCTGAGGTATATCTCAGCCTCTCTTGTTTTTCTAACTGATTAATAGTACTACAGATTATTCAACACAAGGCCTTCACTTAAGTTATACTTCCAGTGTCCCTCCTCTATTGTGAGACAGGGTTTTGTTAAGTTGCCCAGGTTGGGCTTAAACTTGAGATCTTCCTGCCTCGGCCTCCCAGAGCACTGTGCTTACAGGTGTGTGCTCACATACATGTCCAAAAAGTTTGATATTTTAGCCAGGTGTGGTGGCACATGCCTGTAATCCCAGCACTTGGGAGGTTGAGGCAGGAGGATGCCTCTGAGTTTGAGAACAGCCTGGGCTAAATAGTTCCTTTAGGGCCAGGCTGAACTACATAGCAAGAACCTATCTCCAAAAAAAAGAAAAAAGAAAAAAAGAAAAAAAATTGATATTTTAAGAATAGCAAGAACATACTATGTCTATCCTCCAGAGGGCATAGGCAGGGCACATGCCTGCGTGGGAGGGATCAAGGAAGCCATGTGGCTTTATTTTTGTTTTTTGAGACAGGGTCTCACTATATATTTCAGGCTGCTCCTGAATTCACTGTTAGCCCCGGCTGGCCTAGAACTAGTACCTCAGTCTCCCAGTGGTGGGATTACACGTGTGTGCTGTCATGCTCAGCGTAAGAAGAAAGCCCCACCTAAAAGTTGGGGCACATCTCCTGGGTGGGCAAAGCCCAGGACTGCTGTGTGAGCCCTTGGGGAAATGTACTGGATTTGCCCATCGTAGGAGCTTCACCCAGGCTCTAAGACAACCCCTGAAGTAGTCAGCCTCCCCCAGCATCCTAGTGAAAGGAAAGTTGGGACACCCCAACGAGGAGGAGGAAGGCCCTGCTAAGAACTCCGTCCCTCCCACTGACACAGATTTGCCTGGAGCAAGAGAAGCAAAAAAAGGCAAAGGGGATCCTCATGGGCCTCTCCCCATCCTTTCACAGATCCACAAGGGGCTAATGGGGGGAAGCTTGTCCCCTTTAAAAGGCAGCTAGGCTGGCAGAAGTGGGAGGGTTCTACTGCGAAAAAATGACTCTTGGTGACAAAGACAAGTGACTGTAAGGCGAGAACTTTACAGACAGTCAGGGGGTCTTGGGCAAAGGGAGAAAGGGATGGCCTGAGGGAAAGGGAAAACATACCTTCATATTGGCTCCTGAGAGACCAGAAAAGCAGGACCTCTACCCAGCCTTAGGCCAGGGGGAGGCGTGTTCTGACTAGACTTCCCAGGCATGGTTCTGGAGGAGGGGAAGCAAGCAGCAGTCCCCTCTTCGTGGAAGGGTGCTATTTATTTACATTCTTTTGTCCCCTGATCATACAGAAGGGAACAAGCTGCATACTCACTCTCCCTTGCTGGGCTCCCACTCTACCTGAAATCATACTTGAAAGCAGAAACTCTGTTCTTGCAAGCAAGCAGCAGGCAGAGAACTACAGAGACAGGCTGAGAGAGTCTGGCAGTCACAGTAAGAGCATCAGTCCTGACCACTCCAGCCATGTCCATGTATACCCATGCCTGTGCGCCAGCCCCTGCGAGGCTTGGGAAAATGTCATGTGGCCATGTTTCAAATTACTCCATTGAGGGAAGAAGCTGGGACAGAATGGCTTGCAGGGGGTGGGTTCTGGGGGCAGTGGGGCAACTGGGCAAAGTTATGAGGGTACAAGTGAGGACGGGGGCAGGGGTCAAAGCAGGTTCCATTCACAACTGAAACCCAGTTCCACTATATCTCCCCATCTGAGGATGCTGGGCTGGGCTGCTCAAGGTTTTGCTGAACTTAAACCACAAGCACCCACAACCTCTCAGGATCCTTTTTCTAATTATCATGGGCCAGCACCACTGTCAAACTGGACCTTCCTCAGTTCCTGTTGGGTTCGTGCTGCTTGTAAGGGCAATACGCAACCCAGTATGCCCAAGGCTTTTTACCTCCCAGCCTCTGCAGGTTCTGGTGCCTGGAGATCCACTGTCCCTCAAAGACCCCTTTAGTCTAGCTGGGGCCTCCTGGCACCTGTCATCCTTTCACTGTCCCAGGGGAATACCAACCTGAATAGGCTCTTACTCAGCCCTATAGCCAGGTATCAGACCACACTGGCTTCCCTTATTCCCAGGGAAATCTGTCTGTTTTTTTTTAAACACTAGACATAGGAGCAAAAAGTTTGCCATTCTTGCATCTAGACTCCTATAAGACCCATCCCTGCCACTCTGTAGCGCTCATCATCAGTATACTGTGACATCAATTTGTGCTCATTGTGTTCAATGAACATTTGTGGAATGAAGGAATGAAGGAATGCTAGAAAGGAAGCAAACAAATATAGCTGCAAGTTTGACTGGAGCCAGCCACCTGGGGCCACCAAAGAGCCCACGACCCTGTTTCACTCTGCTCAACCACAGATGGTAAAGGCAGTCAGGCTTCTACAACATAACTTTAAGAGTTAACCCCTTGAGACAAGTTTATACTCAAGGCTCCTAAGTTCTACAAAGGAAAGGGGGGAAGAAAATGGCTTTTAAATAAGGTGAGATTGCATTTTGGAAATCATCTGTAGCACAGCCTCGATAAAGGCAAGAAAGTGACAATAAAGGGTGAATGAGATCAGATGTGACAACCTTTAAAATGCTAAGCTGAACACTAAGCATTTATGACCATTTAGCACCTCAAGGAAGGTGCATAGGGATGGAAAATCAGATTTTGGGCCTACTGTGCTCCTCGCTTGGCAGGGATGTAGAGTGGTTGGTGAATCAAGGTAACTTGTCTATTGGTTTTTTTGAAGGCTCAGTCCACATCTCTGCATCAAAGTCTAAATGACTTACCACTAAATCCACCTAATCTGCCAGTCAATATTCACATAAACCAACCCCAGCACTCCAGCTCGCCATAATCATCTAAGGACATAGCTCATAGGCAAAGGAAATACCTTTCTTCTGCTGCTCAGAAAAATTCTGTCTTATTTTACTTGGTTTGACTTTTGGATTCTAAAATTAAATTCCTTTTAAGTCTCTAACTTGTTCCTTAGTATGGAGAACATTAAGCTATCAGGAGCTAATGGCTTCAGAAAATAAAAGGATCTATTCTGCTAACCTTAACCTCAGACAAGTACATACTTGTCCAGTAAGGAAAAAAAAGAAAAAGTAGATAAAAACATAGGGGTGAGGGTAGTGCTAAGTGGTAAAATGGTTCAATCCCCAGCATCACAAAGGAAAACTGTACAATAACAACAAAGAGTTTCTCTTTTTTTCTCTTTAAGCTTACCAATATAACCTCCTCCCCAACATACAAATGCTTCTTAGATCTACCTAAGAGATGCTATGTCTTTTTTTTTTCTTAAAAGAGTCTCACTATGTAGCCCAGGCTGGCCTTGAGCTCACTAGGTAGCACAACCTGGCCTCCAACTCACAGTGATCCTCCTGCCTCAGCCTCCTGAATGCTGGGATTACAGGCTTGCAGCACCATGCCCACCATGTATCAGGTTCTTTTCATTAAACTATGATACTCTTAAAATTCTATGTCGGTGCTGCTAAACCTGTGGCATGCATGCCACAGACAGATGTTTATCACTGAAAGCTTCAGAAGGCTTAACATCACTGTTGTATGTCCTAGAGTAGCATTTTTGTTTGACATTGTGTAAAACAGTTCAGGCACTCAGTACTAGGCTTTGTTATTATAGTCAAATACTGTATAAAATTTGGATGCCCTTGGCATTCAGCATGATCAGGAAATGGCCTAGGTTGGTCAACCAAAATATTTTGATGAGCAAAAAACTGAAAACACGAGATCGGGCAGGCATCACCAACTCTCAATTTTGTATTAAAACTATGTTCAGCTGTCTCACCTTCCTCCTTCATAAGGACACCGAATTGCTGTTCGCCTTGAAACAGCCACCAGAATGCCATTAGTTTCTAATACAAAGCTACATGATGAGACCGCTTTTCATTCAGGCCTAGGCCAAGGAACACAAATATCTTTACACATATCCTGGAGCACCAAACTTTGACGTAGAAAATAAAAACTGTGATTGCCTGAGGTTCGCCTGAGCAGGTGACTAAGAGGTCACCTGCCGGCCTCTTCGCCTTCATCTCAACAGGGACAGCATGGCAAGGCAGGCCACTCCCAGAGCCCTAGCCCCATCCCATCTCAAGAAAATGAGAAACGACCATGAGGCTCTCTCCCAGCCCCCATGACGCGCGGTGGCCCCCCGAGAGCCACCAGCGCTCACTGGAGGCCAGAAGGCTTCCAAGTCTTCTCACCTCTCTTCGTTGATGCCGCACATGCGAATCCGGTCAGAACTGGTCCAGTCGTGCACGCCGCTGTAGAGCGGTGCTGTAGAGATCATGACAGCCACTCGCCACCAAATAGGATGTGTTGTGGCCACTCCCCCTGGGGAAAAAGAATCCCAAAGAGTCAAAACTCAGAAGAGGAACAGCTGCGTTCACAGAACTGGTGTGTGTCACTGGGAAATGAATCAAAGGGATGCACACAGAGCTACACCCATGACCCCTTTTTTATTTTTATTTTGAGGCAATATTTTGGTAAGTAATTAAGTTGCTCAGGCTGGACTCTAACTTTCATCCTTCTATCTCAGCATTCCAGAGTGCTGGAATTATAGGTGTGCCCGAACACATCCAGCATCACAAAAGTGTTTAAACAAGGGTAATTAGGGCCTGCGAGATAGCTCAACAAACTAAGCCCTGTTTACGCAAGTGCAGGGACCAGGGTTCGATCCTTGGCACCAGACACCACACTGCCCTACCACTGGCGAGCTAACCCAGCCACAGAGATCAAGAGGTTAAAAACAGGAGGATCGCTATGAGTCTGAGCTATGTAGTGAGACCCTATACCAAATACATAAAAAAAACCAAGGGTAATTAGAGCATCAAAATGTTAAAATGGTCTCTCTCACAAGCCAGTCCACTAAAGAAAATGAAGGTCCAAACAGGGACAGGAATGCAGTAGTTTTCTAGGAATCTATGCTTCAGGATAGAGCAAAGCACACTTAATCACCCAGAGCAGGTACAGTGAACCCTTTAGAGCTTTCAATGGTAACAAACAGCCCACTGTGGCACGACAGGCCATAGGTTCACCACTACTGACCTAAAGTGATCCTTAAATCTCTTCACAGGCATTCTGCATATGCATAAATGTTTGGGGAAATCCAATCTATTGAAGACAAATGAGAAGACAATATACTTTTCGAAGCAAATGGTTAGCCTAAGCAACTACAATTAGAGGATCATACCCACATGAGTAGCAAATACATGGAAAGAAAAGTAGGGGTCCTTTTTCTTCTGCTGAGTATAGAAGGACTTGAACAATGCAGCCAATTTAAGGTCTGTAGAGGAAACACATGCTTTCTTTAAAGCCCTTCCAAAGTATTATTTTCTGCTTCCAAGTTTGGACATAATTCATCCATCTAATGTGGTAGAAAGCTCCCTCCAAATCAGGTAAAAGCTCTCTGCATTCTGATGCCAAACAAGCAGACACAGCAACCAAGGTTCTACCAAAAGCTTTCTGTCCTGTCCCTTCCTATTAGCCTGTTATCCTCATGACCTACCACCCCCTTCACTAGCCAGCATCTGGCTCTCAATGTTGACAGCCACTTCATGGGTAATCCACCTTCTAGAGAAAAAGTGTGCTACAAAAAGAGCTTTATCCAGTGAGTCTATCTTGAGACCCTGAAATTCCTGAGTTAACTTACTAACTAAACCCTTATTTATCAAAGCTCAACTCTACAGAATCCAACAGCGATCAGAATTTTCTATTGTTTTCCAACTTTCCAAAGAGGCAGAGCATGGCAAGATATAGTCACATCCGGGATTCATTCTATTTACTCTTTTTTTCAATTTTCTGAAACTGTTCTTACTCAATTCACTTATTTGACAAATATCTACTAAGCTCCTCCATGTGCCAGAACTGTCCTAGGTACTGAGAACTCAACAATGAACAAAACAGACCAAAATTGTGTTTGCAGGGTGCTTAAATTCTAGAAGGATTAAAATGGACAATAAGAAGGCTAAATCATTTTATGTTGGGGCTGGGGAGATAGCTCAGCAGCATAAGCTTCTGTCTGGCAAATGCAAGGTCCTACATTTGATCCACGGTACCAAGACAACAACGACCCATATTCTATGTGGCAGCATTTTAGAAGAGGTGTGGCATAGGCTCGGGGGCCAGGGCAGTGCAGGGTGTGTTTGACTGAATGGATTATGATCTGACATAGGGTGGTCATGGTAGGCCTTGCTGAGAAGGAAACATTTTAATAACCTAATGGAGGTAAAGGAGCAAGCAATGTCAGTATCTTAGGGAAAAGCATTCCAGGAAAAGCATATGTATATGCAAAGGTCCTAGGGCCAGAAGAAAAGCCAGGAGGCAGATACCGCTGGACCTGAGAGAATGAGCATGCTACAGAAGGAAGGCAGCAGAGATGTATCCACCCACTCTCTTCCCGGGCCTCATCCCAAGCCCATATCTGTGCCAGCCAGGGAACACTGCTGCTCTCGCTTTTTCTTTGTACTTCTTCTCACCTCCTTTCCCTGGCCCAACACTTGCCAGTGTCTCTGGGACCCATATTTCCCAATAACTACCCTAGAAAACTGGGCATTCATTGAGGTCTGATCCTCAATGGAGGATTCATTGAGGATTCATTGAGGCATTCATTGAGGTCTGATCCTCTCCTTGCCTCTGCCACCTTGTCCCATTTCTTCCTCTCCCTCCCTGTCTTCCCTAGTTTGCTCTGTTCCCCATCTTAGTGTCTCTCCCTCCTTCTCACCTTTCTCTCCCCCCTATTATTCTCCCAGCCACCTCTGTCTGTCTCTCCCTCTCCTCCTTCCTGCTCTATGGGTACAATCCCTTCTCTAACTTTCTCTTTCTTTCAACTTTTCTTTCCAGTTTGCCCTCACTTTATCTCACCGTTTCCATTTCTGAGTCTCCAGTTCTTTTCCTTCCCTTTCTCCCTCCCTGGATACGCCCCTACTCTGGCCTCCCATACCCTTCATTCAGCCCCCTCTCTGGTCTGCCTTTCTCCACCCTCTTCCTCTTGGCTCTCCCCCATGCCTCTCTCCCTATATGTATACTGTATTTCAGCCCTGCCCCTCCTTCTCTTTCACCTATGAGCTCTCCAAGTTTCAACTCACCCTTTGGTACACAGATGATGTCCAGGTCTGTATCTCTAGCCCTGACATATCTCCTTAGGCCAGACCAGAATTAGCTGCCAGCAACATGCTGTTCACTGGATATCTACAGAGCCCCTGAAACCCAACAGGCCTCAAACCAGTCTCATTGTATGTTCCCATAAGCCTCTCCCTACTCTCCCAACCCTATGCCCAAGATATTTCCTATCTTAGTTAATATCACAAGTACCCCTTAAGCCTAGAAATTTCTTTAGCTCCTCTCCCCCACAGCCCAGAGGCCATCAGGAGTAAAGCTTCCTCAATAAGGCCATCTCTCTCTGCTCCTTCTACCCCCTGCCACTGGCCTGACGCAGGCTGCCATCATCTCTCACCAGGAACATTACGCTGGCCTCTTAACAGCTCCTCAGCCTCCCATCTCTTGATTCTACAATCAATTCATCTTCTAAAGCGGCAGTTTGATCAGGCCTCCCCCTCCCTCAACTTCCTTGTGGAAAGCCATCAGAATCAAGCTCAAGTTCTTCGTAAGCCTTGAAGGGCCTCAGGACTTGGCCTCACACCTCATCTCCAGGCTTGGCCCTGCCCTGCGCAGATCACCCAGTGTCACGACCATGCTGGTTCCGCACTCAGAAATAGCTTCTCTCCACATCCCTTCTTCTGTCATTCAAGGCCTAGTTTCAAGGCCATTGTGTCACTTCCTGACACAGCCCCATTCCCTGACTAGTTAACCCCTCCCTCATAGGTTCTCCTCAAACATTTAATTCCTACCTCTGCCCAGTATTGACTCTCTTTGCAGTGTGGTTACCTGGAGGTGTGGCATGTCTGTCTGCCCCACCAGACAGCCAACTACCTGAGGTAAGAAATAATTGTTTTTCTTTGTCTCTGGTTCAAGATTACCCTCCACATAGTCATCAGTACTCTGAAAGTGGATGTTATATGGAACTGAATTCTGAATAAGAATTGAGAGGATGACCCTGAGAAATCACAGAAAGAAAAATCAACTCCACTGAAAGTCTACCATCGTGTTTACTATATAAAAATGATGCATTAACTATAGCATATCTTTCCAGGCTGCCTGATTCTAGAATCTTCAGCTCATCATCTTTGAGCTTTCTTGTAACTCTGGGAAGTACAGGTAACTAACGGCTATGGAAACTGAGTCTTAGCTCACAGAGTTTGGATTGACTTTCCTCCCCGCTAATGGGGTGGCTGGAACAGTGTTGCTTCCATTTGCAATTCAATTTCTTTACTCCATATAAATTTGCACTTTTTGACTTTTCCTTTGAACTCCTTATAACACCTGTCTGGTTCCAATGTTGATTAATGAGTAAAATAAAATCTTTAGCATGTGTTCATTTTTATAGCTGGAGAAGAGTTATGATTCTTTACCTTTTCTAAAAATTATCTTTCAGCATTACTAAGACAGTTATGTGGATTAGCATAATTTTACAAAGATTTTTAACAAGGACCCCATTCCCTGAACATCCTGGTTAATGAAGTTTTGACTGTTTCTTAGAAAACCTTGGAATATCCTTGGATTAAGAAATAACATCTCAGCCTATTGGCCTATACAACAGGCACTTATAAAAATCCTTCCCCTCCACAAAGCGTTAAAGGACTTGGGCAATGGAAGAGGTTGTTCTTGCCATATACTGAATTTCAACATGAAGTACAAGTTTCAGTTGCTACCTAGCTATGTGTTAGCAGCAAGTTTATCAGTGACCAAGGATTTTTCACTCGTGGGTTTATTTTTGTTCTTCTTAGAATGAATTAGCAGTTTGTAGGGTCTGAGCCAGAAACCAGAGGGGAAATCCCAGAATTCAGAAACAAAATAATATATAAAATATTCAATTGATAAAGAGATTGTAGGCCAAACAGAAAAGGAAAACCAAGTAAAAACCAAACATGGACATGACACAAATTTGGTGCCTACCTCCACAGCAAAAGTGATCTTAGATAGCCCCACTTTTACAAGGCCCTGATGGTGTTGCATCTACTTCAAGCTCCGCAACCTAAACTTGTATCATGATTTTAACAGAGCAGTACCTGCCCATCTGAAGCTCACTGTCCAATGCTTAACCAGCCTTTGGGGAAGAGGGAGGGGGTGGATGGAAGCACAGGGAGGCGAACACAGAACTAAGCTGTCCACAGAAGAAGGAAAAATCACTCTAGCCAGAAAGAAAAGCCAAGGGATCACCTTATGTGGCACTAGAGAACAGTTCCTGACAACAAGGTCAGTAGGGATACTCAATG